CACTTAGCTTTCGGAGTACGGTTATAAACCTTCTTCGATTTTAAGAGAAATGCACGCACTAGTATAAAGTTTGGGTGTTCGTAATTATTCTTCCTCAGAAAGTGAACCTTTTCAAAAACGAGTTCACCAGGCTACGCCGTAACTGGGTTGACAAGTAGCCATTATGGCATTGGTTGTCTTTGAGATTTCAAGACAAAATGCAAAACCAACTATTGTTGGTGCAAACGAATTGTTATTTAAACTATATACAAGGGCAATATAATTATGTACTAGAATTTGGTTTAGAACATTGATTTTAAGCAATATTGATATTGGCGCCGATGAACTTAATGTGAGGAGTTGGACGCCCATAATTTTGTTTGTGAAAATACAAGTTGCGCTAATAACATGCTAAAAGTGCATAAAACATTATGAGACAGCTTCATTGGATTATCCATGAGCGGTAATGATTTTTAGAGGGGTGGGTTGTATATTTTCTTTGTTTGGGGAAAACACGCGTTATCTTATAAACATGTTGAATAGATCGAAAATATGGCATTAAGGGATAGATATTTAAAGCACCGACCATTTTTGTTGTTGAAGTTACCATATAAACAAGCTGATTAAATAGAGAAGAAAAAAGTTAAGAAGGACAATTCGATATCGAGCCTCATCACATTACCATAATGAATATTACCGGCATGAAAAAAGTCTGAATATTTCATGATCATGATGTATAATTGAACTCCAACTATGCGTCACGCTTGTATGCTATTGCTTTATAGGCTAACATGTTTATAGGCTGCTGGACTCTGACGATAGGGGGCGTTGTCAAATGAGACTAAACGGAGCTAAACGTGCGTGTGCGTGTGTGTGTTTGTGTGTGTGTGTGTGTGTGTGTGTGAGAGAGAGAGATATATATATATATATATATATATAAAGAGAGAAAGAGAGACAGACAAAGGGAGGGAGAAAGAAAGACAGAAGACAGAGGATGAGACAGAGGGGAGAGAAAGAAAGAGAGACAGAGAGACAGAGAGAGACAGAGACAGTCACAGAGAGATAGGGGAAGAGGCAAGATAGAAAAGACAGCAAAGCCAAGGATGGCGATAGAGAGCAGCAAATTAAAAGTCCAATACTTTTAAGTGATCCTGATATGCATTGATAATAAGACCGATTTTACACCAAGGTAGAGTGTGTTCTTACGCCCTTTGTCTCACGACGTTGTCTTGCGTGTCCAGGCGGGATATATATTAAATATGGATATTCTGTAGTTCAAGAAACACGATCGCAAAGACTTTCGAAAAATGAACCGTAGGCAATTTCAATATCCTCGTGCAAAGGCTTTCGACAAATCCACCTGAGCAGAGGCTTTTGAAAATCTGCAAATGTTACAGTGACTTATTACGTATTTCGAACATAATTTCTATGCAATATGCAACACGGCATTGAAATTGCATAAACGTTCATTTCTCGAAGCGCTTGGCCATTACGTTGAGGAGGCGCGATGGATCAGTCGGTAGAGCAGTGGTATCGTAATCCGGTGACCCGGGTTCGAAACCAAGTCGATGGGCTAGTGCCCCTTGGTAAGGCATTAATCCTCACTACCAGGTCCATCGGAGAGGACCTTAAGCCGTCGACCGTCTGGTTGCTTACTTTACAAGCATTTATGCTTTCTTACCAGTCAGGTAAAATAACCATCACATCACATATAGAAACTACAAGACGAAACAAAAGTGTGTGGAGATGACATGAAAAGCTAAACATAAGAAATCAGAATAATCAGTTTCGCAAAATCTGAAATGTTGTCTTCTTTTCAGGATATAAATGTATTTTGGATCTTCTGAAGACGTGTTGAACATCCACACCTTTCTATTTAAAAAAAAATGAATGAAATTAATGACGCTTTCTCCACTTAAAGAAGCATTTAAATGCATAAGCAGATGTTTCCTCGCCTTTCCCGTTTCTCTGTCAAAACACACACACGCACTCACGCACACACACAACCAGACACACCCACACACACCTCCATCTTCTCGTTTTGATCTTCACTGCACTTTTCTTCATTTTCTCTCTCTTTATCCTCCTCACTGCCCCCCCCCCCTCTCTCCATGCTATATATCTCTCTCTGCCTCTTTGCCTGCCCTTCCCTCTCCTGCATGTAGCTCCTTCTTCCTTTTTCATTGTAGTCACTATAGTCCTGTAGATATATGCCTCATTTGTACTTTTCCACCACCTGACCACGGACGTGATGGCGATCTTCTTTATATTCATTGATTTATTGACCATTGCAAAGCGATTGCGTGAGATCGTGATTGTTTCATACTTACCCAAAAGCATACCCTTTCTCCCTCTCTATTTATTTATATATTTTCTCTCTCTCTTTCCCTAAAAAGATATGTCCTCCTTTCTTCCCCTAGTATACCCTTAAAGAGAAGGTTGAGGTCTGGTCAAGATGGCAAAAGCTTATTGAGTTTTATAGTGCTTTGTGTTCGTAATGTTAAAGTATATCATTTAGCAACGTCATTGATAAGAAATTATCTTAATTTCATATACTACTAAACATAACTAGAAACCGCTTGAATATATTGAAAATAGCCAAAGTTCGACGCCTTGATCATGTAGTCCCATATACCCATGTACCTGTTTACAATTCTTTTTTCTAATGTGATCTTCAGCACGACTGGGTCAATTTTGTAAAATGTTGATGTTTGAATCTTCATCATGTAAATGATACTAAAGCCTTATGTTATCGACCATTCCTAATCATTTCTAGCAAGTTTTATCACATAGCAAGTGAGTGGCTAGTACTGAAATGTTTCTTTAATAATAACTCTTTCTCTCTCTCTCTGCATCTTACCCTCTCCCCCTCTCTTTTTCTCACTCTCACTCCTCATCTCTCTCTCTCTTAACAAGCAGGACTCAAACGAAATCCGTGCTCTAAGCCTGATTTTAAAAACTATATCTTGTATTTCCGCTATATGAAAGTATTGCGCCTTTGGTCACTCAGCGTTCCTTTTTTCTGAAACCAGGCAAGGAAACGCTTATATCGTTTATCACGGATAATTGACTTGATTTACGATCAGGTGGTGGTGCGTACTGGTCGATGGTGTCTGTCCGGGCCAGCCTAGAAACCTGCGTAGAATCAACATGGAACAGTGTTCACTGACTGCATTAATGCTGATCTTCATGGGCGCATTCAAGGGTAGGCTAAGATTAGATTAAGTCTAACTGAAATTAATCCTGAGTTTGTCTCCCCTTCTCCAAAAGACCCCTGTCTTCTCGCTAATCTTCCAACGCTTGATATTAAGTTGTTGACAATGTTTATTTTCTATTTGTGATTGGATATGTTTTTTTTTTTTTAAATTATATATAGAGTCTTTACTTTTTTTCCCGGAAAACTTCTCTAATTAGAATACGACAGAAAGTACCTTTAATATACTCTGCATTATTAGAGCTGACGATATGAAGTTTAGTCTTTTGATTGTATATAGCATGTAAAGAACACATTTTCGAATTGCCTGATGGGCAAATGTTCGCATATTTAGATCGGTGCCGCACAATTAGGGCTTTGGAATTTCCAGAGGTTAATTTTGTTAAAGTCAGTGCGATCGTGCTTTGAGCGAATAGCATGAGATGGATACGCCTTATCCCCTAAGGAAAGAAAGGGAATGAACTATTCTGATGTGTTTATCTAAGGAACGGGGGTACAACTCTCTGTCTCTTCCGTCCAGAGAAGATCTGGTCCTTTGATGCGATTTCTAGATTCGCCACAGTAGAGGTAATCAGGGCTCCCACTTAGCCGAGTTGGAGCCTCGAGTTGTGGCGAGCTGGCGCAAGCTTATGGCAAGCCGTTTTATCATTAAAACTTGATATCAAGAATTCGATTTCGTGATACCAAGAATTCGATTTCTTGATATCAAGAATTCGATTTCGTGATATTAAGAATTGAATTCTTGATATATCAAGAAATATGTTTTAATGATAAAACGGCTTGCCATAAGCTTGCGCCAGCTCGCCACAACTCGAGGCTCCAACTCGGCTAAGTGGGAGCCCTGCTTAAGACAGGTCCTAACTCGATCGCAAGTACTTTCGGATGTCAACCAAAGCCAAATTCAGTTGACTTGACTTGACTTGACTTGTTGACTGTATATCAACTTTTCGTTTAAGTGTGAACATTACAATAACACATTAATCCGATGATGATTTCCATGGAGCCTGGAGCATACCATCGAGTTTTGAATTTGCCCTTCAGTTCAGAAATCTTTGCGATCTTATTGAAAAGGCAAGACAAACAATGTCGAAGTAAATGGGTACCTGGTAGGAATTTATTCCTTGAAACGCAGCGCGCGTAACAGCTGCACTGCTAAAGCCAGGGTAAGTATGCTGCATTATTGTAGAGCGCTTAGAGACTTCTGATAAAGTAAGTGTTAGGCGGTATATAAGCAAGTATATTTATTATTTGTGTGTTCATATTTTGTAGGGGTTACCCTAGCTCAGACGAACATGGATGATGTGATATGCCCACATGTTGAGTTGACGTGTCCTTCGCTTCGGAACTCAAGTGGTGACGTCATCCCCTTGGTCCTAAAATACATGACGAAACAAGTTGGCGGCATGTTGAAATCCTCACTTTCAAAGGACCGCATTACTGTCAATCTGCAGTGCACACTTGCGGGTAAGAATATACCTGAACTTAATTTAGTAATAATGATCATAATAATATCCCTCCTTTATATAACGCTTAATGTTTCAACGATGTCTTTACAGATACATGTATATTATTACCCCGGTCATCAGATTCAGGCTTGCCCGCAGACAATGTATGCACATTCTCCACTCCCTGGGAAGCATTCAAGTCAGGCGTCATTTTATTAAGTTGTCATGGGGAATATGACACTATTATTTTACCTATAACCGGTGTTGTCAGTCACTCTGGCTACGAAAGTGCATTAGCGCCGTGCTGTATTACCATTGACAATGCACTCGATCGATTTTACTTATTTGAAAAAGACAACAGACAAAAGTTACTTGTTTTCCTTCTAGCCTGCCTGTCATCACCTTGTATGAACCAAGGACAATGCACAGAGAGTCTCATTGGATTTGCATGCGACTGTGAGGAAGACTACGTGGGGGACATTTGCCAACTCAAGAGTAAGTGTAAGAAAATAATACAAGTATGTTATTGTGTTGCCATTTACTAACCGTTATTACAAAAGCTAGTACTACTATTTTGTAGGTACATGTTAACTCATGGCCTGCCATGAGGGTGCATGCACACTATCGTTATAGTGCTTTGTACATGCGAGCAAGCTATTGCTACGCTGCCATGTGCGTGCGTGTACACTTACGTAGTAGCAGTTATTGTTCATGCTCATTGGACTGTGCTATGTGTTTTGCATTCGCTATTCATAGAACCATCGCGTTAATCAGATTATCTAAATATAAACTTGGCACAATGGGGATTAGACCTGTGGCATGATAAGAGTTAAGTGATGGGCAGATCGAGAATCCGGAATCTTATATTAGAAGAAAAAAAAAATGGTTATATCTTTCCCTAATCAGACGGACAAAGTTATAGCACAGCGCCAGTGTAGTTGGCGCGCGGGGGGGGGGGGCAGGATTTCTCATCCATACTTTTTGAGCTCCCTCATTTTGTGGTCGTTTTGTAGACAACTATTCTAAGAATACCTAAATTCATTTTCAAATCGTTGCATGGCAAAATAGTTTCTGTTAGTCTTGGCTAATTATTCAAGTTAAAGTTCCATGTTTTTTTTTCAATTAAATTATTTGGAGTATTTCAGTTAAAAGGTTTTAAAAATTCAGGCTACGCTAAAGTTTATTTTGTGTGCAAGATCCTTGTCGAAATGGAGTAACCCGTTTAGATTGCCATGATGATCCAACCTAAGGTTTGTGCTTTCTGAATCATATCATTTTAACCTTGTAGACCTATGTGCCAAGAGAATCCCTGTGTTAATGGAGAAACATATCATGAGGATCAAACTATAGGGTTCAACTGTCGTATTCACAATCTTTTATCCTTGTATGCAGGACCTATGTGTCAAAATAATACCTGTTCTAATGGAGGAACATGTCATGATGATCCAACTATAGGGTTCTACTGTCTATGTGATCCCTGCTTTTTTGGAGAGTTCTGTGAACAAGGTGAACAAACATGAATTATTGCTTATAAGTATATTTTATCCATACCCTCCCCCGATTTCAAACAAAGCAGATATAACTTGTTTTAGAATCCGTCATTGTTAATGTTTTTAGTAAAAATATTAGTTTTGGGGTATCCCCAGTCATCATAGTTTTATCATTTGTGTTACAACATAAAGCATTTGTATATGTTGAGTTATGTTGCTAAAATCAAAATAATAAAACTGAGAAAATATAGATAATGAGTTAATACTGTGTATATATGATTATATAAAACAGATCATTACATTCGTAATACATTAATCTACATTTGCCACTTTCAACACAGGTGTAAATGGGTACCCAATATGCTAGAGCACTATACTAAGCCGTTTGGTTATGAATGGGGAAATAATTTTGAATCGCCAGGAGCGTCACTGTGTTGCGGTTACCATATGTTTAAAAAGTCATTATTCTTGTTATTACCATCAATAATCTTGTCTTTATATTGACAGAGTATGACATATACACGTTCTCCGATGAAGACACATCATCTACCTATTTCTCTGATTTTAGACCCGTTGAGCTTAATGTCACGGTTCTTGACAAGTTCTATCTCGGAGTCTCTCAACTCGTCAACTCCACCAGCTGTGAACTCCGCAAAAGCGAGGCTGCCATCATGTGGTATATCACCACGCCCAACGGGACAGTCCCCACAATCACCATCTACGAGTTTGACACTTTCGACAGCGACAGTGATAGTGAGGAATTTTTCATCGTCGCCAACTCTAACATACACGACGCAAACTTCGTTAACACAGACGGCATTCGTGTCGCTTATAACCTTTCTAAGCCGTACCAGGACGTTAATATTTTGGTCCCCGGAGTTCGGGCGGACCCCAGGCGGCAGAATGTGTTATTGATTGCCCAAGGGAATCTGCGCAGCGTTTTACCCTATACGGTCAGGGCGCTGACAAACAACATGTTTTGTCAGTTTATAAGCTCATTGCGTGTGATTCACCTGGAGAGATACACGACGGTCATGGCTAAGGTCCTCGCTGTTTATCCCGATCAGCTGTAATTGACCTTGAGGACGAAGAGGGCACATTGGCAAAGTATTGCGAAGTCCCCCCCCCCCCCCCCCCCCACCCATCAACAACAACAAATCGAAATGGAGGATGTTTGGCCCTCTCCCCATAAGTCTGATTTTGCTGTAGCGGAAGAAGTGAAAGCATTGCCTTTTAATGTTGAAAATGTTTATAGTCATACGTTTTTTGTTTCTACTCTTCTTGTTTAACTGATCAGTTGAATGCTCTCGATCAAGTATTAAGACATTCTCGCTCATAATTATTAAATGAATGCTGCCCATTAAGCATTTCAAACAAAAAAAAATTGAACAAACACTCTAAAAACAAGCATTCAACGAATCAGAAAATACTTTCAAACAAGCAGTCAGTCAATCAGTGAATACTTTCAAACATTTAACAGTCCTGTTGTGAATGCTCTTACAATCACTCAACCAGTCACAGTCAGTGAATGCTCTCAAACATTCAACTATTCAGCCAATGCTCTCACAATCATTCAACCAGTCAGTGAATGCTCTCAAACATTCAACTATTCAGTCAATGCTCTCACAATCATTCAACCAGTCAGTGAATGCTCTCAAACATTCAACTTTTCAGTGAATGCTATCAAACATTCAACTATTCAGCCAATGCTCTTGAACAAGCTTTCCACCAGTGTAATCTTCAACGGTTGCAAATACATCTTTAACCAATCAAAAATGTTCTTCGTCAAGTATTGGCCAATTAGGATCTTGATCAAGCATTTCATCAGCAGCCAGTGATTTCAGCAATCCATATTCTCACTCAAGAATCAATCATATCAATGAATGCTGTCCATCAAGCAATTCAATATCAGCCGGTGATTTCAAACAAACATAACATCATTATTCGCCATCAAAATTTGTGATCACTCATTCAACCAATCAGAAATAAACCAACAACACTTTACAATAGATTTTGAATTCATCAGCCATATTGCTTTCATCGAACATTCAGTAAATACTCTCAAATCGAACAAGCATTCGACAATGAGCCAAAACGCTCAATCATGCATTCAACCTGATGGCTCATGTTGTCAATCAATAATCTACCGCATCATTAGATTGCTAAATTTACACTCAAAATGAAAGGATTATTCATTCAAATTCTGACATTCTGTTGTGCCTCAAAAAACCACATTTTGCATTCAACAAAGGATTAACAAAATAAAATCTAAGTACTGTCAAATTCATTTTGCCTAAAAATTTGTTAGCTTTATTTTTTTTCTCTCAAAAATACATACACCTTAGTGATTCTAACATCTTCCCTTTCCTTTCGCAAATTCTGAAGTTTGCGAAACATTTCATGTCCCATCTTGGCACAATGTTTAAGATACATGAACACAACTCTTGAAATAATAAATATTAAATAATCTGTAACTTTCTAACATTCATGTTAAAACTGAAATTTCTGGTTATGGGAGAACAGAACTCTGGGATATATACAACCTGTACAAATTAAGATAATACAAAAGATTCAATTCAAAAGTACATATATTCACAAATATGGCAAGAAAAGGTACATTTGGCAATCATTATACCAAACTATCATTCTGAAAAATCAAATATTTCACGTTTAAAAGGGCTTTTCTACAAATAAATCTATGTTCTATCGCCCATTACCAAGAGCTTATCAAATAGGGCATCACTTGGCATGACCTCCTAATGATATTTGACTTTTAAAAACCAAAGCAATTGTGTAAAACTTCTGGTGATTGTTGTTGAAGTGACTCATAAGAATATATAGCTCACATCAAATTTTGTAGATAAATACTAGTACCTTCGAAATGGCCCGTAGATAAATAAAATAATAGGTCAGTTTGTTTTATCCAAGTCATTTGTTTAAATAGTTCTATTGGTGTGCATTTCCAACAGCAAATAATTTTTCTTATTTCGCATAAAGTCATAGTCATTCATGGTAATATTAATTTCCATTAAAAATCTAAAAAACTACTATCTACCTCGATACAATATTTAATTTCAACAAATTCAGCTTAGAAGGCAAGAAAAAGAGCTGGATGGACTAAGGACTTTTCAAAACTACCTCCACATTTTTCTTATTTCTTTGCAAAATATCTTGTCTTAAGTATTTCCTCCTCAGAAATTATGAATGAATTTAAGACCAATAAATATACCACCTGTTCCTCTCTCTATCTTTATATTTTTAATAATAACGTTAATAAATACCATAGCGAAATTGCGAGGCTTTAGGCTAGCATAATGGTCTCACTTGCATTCATGATATTTCAAAACATTGCACCTAACTTTAAATCTATTGCAAGTGGAATGTTTAATGCCATAAACTCTGCAAACATATACAATGTGGGGAAAGTTACAGGTACTTTTCAATTTTGTCTAGCTGATTACATTTTTGGATGGACATTGATAATTTTTCTTTGATAATATTATAAAGCTACTTCGGAGATACCATCTGCACATGTCCAGATAAAGGTCATTAGTACTAAAACTGTAAAAAGGAATTATCTAGCTGATTACATTTTTTGAATGCACATCAGGTTGTCTTCATCAGGTTGAGTTTGCCAATAATCCGCTATTTTCAGACTTGGGATATTATCCCGAAGCTTGAAATCGCGTTTTCACCAGACCGATACGCTCTTCACAAACTAGCTCGGACGAGCGCAAATAGCCCGCTATTTCCCAAATAGCAGGATCTTTTGGAAACAAGACCAAGATTTCTTATGATATTTTCCTGACAAAATATCCCGCTAATTGCAACTGCGGCTGATGAGGAGATAAACTAGCGGGTTATTTGGCAAACTCGAGCTGATGAAGGCAGGCCTTTTCATACTTTTTCTTGATAATGAGCCACTTCAGAGATACTATCTGTACATGGCCCCAGAGAAAGGTCATTCATACAAGACTGTAAAACCCATCGAGACAACTGCCGGATACATGTTCATGAAAGTTATGTAATCAATATTTGTTAATGCACTGACGGTACCTTTGATGATACACAGGTGAGAGTACATGTATTCGTTTCAAGAGGGCAAAAAAAGATATTCACAAAGGACCTCCATCATTTATTCAATAAGTGTTCTAAAATGCATGAAGTAGAACATTTCCATGTGTAATAGATCTGTAGATATTTTGTTCCAGTTGTACAAGTGCTTTCTCCAAAGTGGTTTATTGGGTATATAGTTGAAACACCTACATATTTGGGTGTAGATTTGCATTAATATAAAGTCAAATGTCACATTCTACTTGGACTTATTCTAACAAGAAATTTATACACTTGGTAATATAGAGGAATACCTCAATTATCTGTCCTGAAAATAATTGAGCCATCCAACAAATTATGCTTTGGTCCTAATAAGGTTGTTATCTTTTGAATTATATATGTTTATATATAACACTCATGTATGTTTTGTTCTGCTAATATTCTATGCACAACTACTGCATTATGCATTGTAATGTGCACAAAGTAAAAAATAAGTAATAAAACAAGCAGGAAAAAAAAAGGAATAAAGTGGATTACGTGTGATATTATTCTAAGATGTATATCATTGAAAGCATATATAAATCAAGATACCTTGGCGATTGCATCTACCCAAAGCCTTGTAAAAATGACATTCTTCAGACTAACTTGCTCTTTAAATATATCGTGACGAGCATAACTGAACTTTAATTTCTTTGAATATTCTCACTGTCAGTGTGTCACTCCTACATCTTCAAAAAGATGTTGCATGAAGAGCTAATTCAATTTCAATAGTGCCAGCTATTTTGTATCATAAACAATGTGGCTTTCAAGCCTAAATAATTCAACTAACTTTGTTTAATTGCAAGGCTAATTAATAACTTCTCTCTTTCTTTTTTAATTTATTCTGATATACCATGTATTCATGTATCTGATAAGAAAATACATGAAAAGACATTTTCACAATAATGAAAGTCTTGGAAAGCAATAAACTGCACGTTTAACAAAAGTAAAATTATGATTTTGCATTGTCACTTGGAAATCTGAACATCCATGGTGTCGTATGAATAATAATGGTGTTCACAGGGGAATAATGAGGGTGTTTAAAGGGGGGTAAAACTCAAACCAGCCCACTTTCCTCTCCATCGCCCATTTTTCTCGTCAGTCTGATCAGTTCTTCTCTGACTGCATTCGCGACCTGAGGGGAATATTGTCCTGTTGGGTATTTCAGATTAGTAGATATATCCAGCTCATCGTAAAATTTATCCACGGCTTTTCCAACACCCTTTTCCTTGTTGCTAAGCGACTGCATCTTTCCATCCGATGGTGCAGACGTGGACGCAGAGTCCTTTTCAGTTTTATTTGGTTTAGTTCTGTCGGGTAGTGGTGATCGTGTCTTTGACCCGTGCCTCTGTGAGCCGTTGATGCTCTGGTGATCGAACGACCAATCGTAGTCGGGTTCCCCTTCGAGGAGCGTGACGCTTCGCTTCTGGGGGGTGCTCTTGGAAGGAACATCGTCCCCCTCCCCTGGTGGAAGGGGGAGTTGGCTCGTCAGCATCTCCTGAAGCATGTCAGCGTAGCGCTCAACCACGCCCTGCTTGTTACCTCGGAGGCTGTCACCGTCCGGTCTTCGCTCTCTGAGGCCTTGCTGATGATTGGTTGTTACTCCTCTCGGGCTAGGGATCGGTGACGGATTCAGTCCTCTCGGGCTAGGAATCGGTGACGGGTTTATACCACCAGGGAGGGATGCCTGTCAAAAGAGCAGAGGGGGTTCAAAAGTTTTTAAAGTAGTGCCATCATGTTATTGTTTCATAATCATTTCAAACCAGTCATGAAAAAAATTGTAATAAAACTAGCAACTTCTTTATAATTGTATCGTGTGCATGTCCATCTTGGGGGATACTCAGGAAACCGTCTACTAATTTATCGCATAGTTCCATATACCTCTTTCTGTGTACAGTGCTTGTAACTTTACCAAGACTGGGTCAAATTTCTTATCGCTTTGATGATTCCTGAACCTTGCAGTACACACCAATACTTATATGCTAGATGATCAACCTTTTCTGATCGATTCCACAACATTTCTTTCACAATGCAATCACATGACCAGAATTGGTCTTTACCTTTAAGTTTAGGATAAAGGTATGGATAGCACTTTATCAATTGCTGTGGTGAGGGATTCAGTTAATGAAGGAAATTGATGCAGAGCGATTGTTGCAGAAGCCTGCACCCTACAACCCCATCTGGCTTCTTGCCAGAAAGAGCATACATCTATGGCTTTCTTGAGAGTCGGGCAAAATAAATCACCAATCATCATCAATGATTACATCAATATTCCACGGGAGTGTTTCACAAAGACTAAGATGGACTATAAGTTGGACTTAACTATGGTAGGCTGTTCATGCCACTGTTCTATCTCACCATTTACTGGCATTGGTCTCTCAAGGGATCATGGTCCCAAATCTATAGAATTTACATTCTTTGAAACTTCATTATTGAAGGAAAAAATGTTATCTCAAGATCATATTGGTGAGAGCAACTAGTGGCATGAACAGCCTGCCATAGTTAAGTCCAACTTAAAGTCGATCTTAGTTTTTGTGAAACAATCCCCAGGAGTTAATGAAAGAAGTTAACAGTTCTTACTGGTTCTTGAGATGGAGATAACATGGCCGTCTCATCTCCAGCTGTATACGGACTCCAAATGACACCGCTGCCCTCTTGTGGTGGTCTAGTGACAGGCACAACAACCACGCGAGTTGTTTGCCCCATCTCAGAGGTCTGAGTACCGCCATCTATTTAGGTCAGTGGAAAAAGAAAAAGAAAGAGAATAAACAGGTCAGGAATAGAATTTCCCTGGAAATCTATACCAAAAAAATCTGTAGCATAGTAAACTTTTATGAATTAAAATCTTAAATTGTAACACTAAATCTTTTGAATCACAGAAGTCTATTGCTGCAACAACAACAAAACAGCCAGATCATTTACAAATTTATGTCCTAAATGGTTCTGATTTTGATCATCTATGTTAATCTCTATTTATATCTACCATTACCAAGCCTCTCAAACTCATCATTAGGCGCGTCTTCATCATCTTGAGATTGCCAAATAGCCCGCTATTTCTGATTTGGGAAATAATCCCGAAGTTACAAATCGTGTCTTCATCAGCACGAGATTCGACCTCGACACTTTGAACTCGACCTTGAGAAATTAGCTTGAGATATTTTGTTTAGCGTTCATGCATAGTGCGAGTCTTCGGTCTGGTGAGGACGCACCGGACAAATAGCTGGATATTTTTCAAACTATCCCAAGATATCTTGGGATGACAATCCCTACCTAATTGCAACTTCGGGATGATGAAGACGCAAATTAGCTGGATAGTTTGCGATCAGGATAGTTCACATAGCAGGATATTTGGCAATCTCGAGCTAGTGAAGACAGGCCTATTGAGTCAGCAGACTGGTTTGTTATGGAAGACATGTTATTTATTCAACTGCGACAGATACCTGATCTTCTGGTATCGCATATCGTAACAAATAGAAGAACATGCAAAATATTAGGAGACACATGCATTAAAGGACAAATATTTGGTGAAATAAATATATTTCATTGTATCAAATGACGAGAGACAACACATAAATATTTGCTCCTAGGAAGGAAGTAATGGATTAGCCATTGTAAAATGCAGAATATCAGGATAAACATGCACTAAAAGGGAAAAGATTTGGTGAAATAGATGTCATTTCATCATTTCAAATGAGACTAAATATTTGGTCCTAGGAAGGAAGTGATGGATTGGCCATTGTAAAAAGTAACTCACTGTTAATAAAATCTTTTTAAAAAAGAAGAGCTTTCAATAGAAATTTCAAAAAGTTTGTTTCATACTACCGAAAAGAGGCATCACTGTTATTTCAAGAACTTACCTATCGAGGCGTCTTTGGGTTTTCTCCTTGGTATAGGTGGCATGACTGGAGCAAAGAGTTGTCTTGGTACTCTACCATAAAAACAAAGGACATATCAAACTCAAAGCTCATTTATACTGCTGAGACCAATATAATCAACTGAGACCAATAATCAAACTGGTCCAAGGTTTTTTTCTTCTTTATGCGAATATTATTCTTAATGTTATACTTTAACAAAAGAGAAACAAGGTTTGTATTATATATAGGATTATATACCCTGTAATGTTGACAGTTATATAACTATGTTCACAAAAAGTATGTATTAGTTAAATCATAATGAAAAAGAGAAAAAAAGTTTCTTAAAAAATGTTGTTTTATGACCAAATAAATCAATTAATACAACAACAACAAATATAATCAACTGACACACAGATACACCAGCAATACACTGGCATTAGACCAGGAATAAACCCGAAACAATTTTTATAGAAATGTCACTGCAAGGGGAACAGACGCACTCTAAACTATCCCTACATAATCTTTTGGTGCTCCAAAATTTGCTCTGGCGACGATTGATATGGGCTTTATTTTATCAAATGAGTAGGGTTAGGGTTAGAATTGCAATTGGTTTAAGGTAAAGTTCAGGATGAGGGATAGGATAAGGAAAAGTGTTGAGTCCTGGGCCCCATTTCACAAAACTTGTTATCAGTGACAAATGAAAGTTTTTTGTTATCAGCTAGTGAAATCCTTGCTTCTGATTGGTTATCAGCAGATTTGTCACTGATTTTTGTCATTTATCATTGAAAAAGGCTTTGTGAGACGGGTCCCTGGGCCCTGTAACACAAAAATAAAGTTAGAATCACATGTGATTTTACTTACTCTTGTTGTGCATGATCCCTTGGAGTTCTCTTCCCTTCTTCTCTGCCGCTATAATTCTAACAATGACAATGAAGAACAAATAATGTAGAAATATTACCCAATAAATTACGAGTATATCATATAGATATATGAGATAAATACATGTAATAAGGAAAGTTTTGCAAGAGAATCTGATATATGTACTTAGTAATAAACATGTCATATACTAGATATTTTCATGACACAAGATTTAAGAATTTTATCAATTTCTACTATCAATGTATATCTCTCTTCCCATATGCTTCATGTTTGCTTCAAATCCATAAGAATTAAAAACAAAATTATTTCAAATCTATGTATTTCTTTCTCTCAACTATGATGCAAAGTGGTTTTAACTTTCCAAATGTTCAAATTGTGTATAGCTTTACATCAAATTTAGACATGATATAATGGAAGCACTGAATAAAAGGTAATAACATTTACAAGTCATCTCAGGAAAATCAATTTTTCAACATGTTTGAAAATAGAAAAGCAATGGTATATGATTCAGAAACTTGGAATGTGAAGAAAGAAGAAGAAGATATCTTGAATAGAACAGAAAATGCTGATACAGAAGATGTTTGATAGAAACAGTTTGATAGAAAGTACACAAGTGAGCTTGTGGAAAGGTTGGGTCCAGAAGAAAAATAAACTGTGGTGAAAGTGGTAAAGAGAAGTGGATCGAGATGGATGGGTCATGTGTTGAGGGGGAGGATGATGACCCTGTTAAAAGAGTGTGGGATCTGGTAAAGGAAGACACAGGAGGGAAAGGTAGACCGAAGAGTTCATGGAAAGATGTGGTGAAGAAAGAAAGCAGTAACTGCAGGGATGCCCGCAGAATTGATCAGAGGGCCTGAAAATCACCTAGAATGAGCTATTTGGTACACAAAAAAGTCTAAACTATGGTCTGAAAATAACTTGCTAGGGCCTGAATACAGGCTATTGCCTGAAAACTGGCATCCCCGAGGAGGGTGCTCGAGACAAGAAGTGGAGAGAGGGAGTGTCATCAGGACCCGAAAGTCAGTTAGCTCTCATAAGAGGGAAAAGCTGACTTCCATAAAGGGTGATTAATATGATTGCATTTGGAAACTAGGTGGAACTGTCAGGGTTAATAGATGTGATTCCAATCCCTCACCTGACTATTTGAGAGGCCTCCACCCAATGGAACAACAGCATTTCTGGATGGACTTGTCTTTCCGACCAATGAGAAGGCTTCGTCTATCAGGGCATGCATCTTCTGTTTGGTCTCTTGCAGAGGCTCAGGTCGATTGTCAGCTTCATCCTGAGTTACAGAGAGAGAGAGAGAGAGTGGGAGAGGAAAAGAGAGAGAAAGAGAAAGAGAGAGAGAGAGAGACAGAGAGGCAGAGAGGGGAGGGGGAATGAGAGACAGAGATAGGAAAAGAGGGAGACAAACAGAAATGCAGGAAAGGGGAGAGAGAGAGTCGGGATGGGGGTAAGGGAGTAAGAGATTGAGAATGAGAGAGAGAGTGAGAGAGAGAGAGAGAGAGAGAGAGTGAAAGAGAGAGTGAGGAAGTGGAGGGAAATAGAGAGGGACAGTTGCAGAGAAGATTGGACGAAATGGGGGGGGGGGGGGAGAGACAGAGAAAAAGAATAATTTACTTCATAATGATAAAAGCCGGTATTGTCTATGAGCATTATAAAAAAGCGAAGTGAGAAAAAATGACTAAATCTTTGTAAGTAAATGATAAACCACACACACCATATTTTTATTAAAACTCTGAAACCTGAAATGCAAGTGAGGTGAGGCTTGCATGCGTGAGTAGGCCTATTCATCATGGCTTATTAAGGAAGACCCTTTGTTATATCCCTCATGCTGCACTTGACAATGAACATGGTAGATTTTGTTTTGGTAATGAATAGTGGGTTACCAGGGCGTATTAATCCATTTTCAGAAAGGAGTGGGGCTGGACACAAACCCCCTCCAAGCTCTGCCTCAGTTAAAGGTAAAGACCAGTTTTGCAAACGCCCCCCTCTCAAAAAATGAAATGGAAGCTCTTATTACAAATCATGTGAAAGAATTGTGTTTTGACTAATATGTGATCATACAAATGTTGCAGAGAATTGATATATTTGGTAAATTATTATATCTATTTGGACCTGATAGATATAACGTACGTGTCACGCACGTGTGGGGGTAGTCCCATATACATATTTCTGTGTACAGTGCTTGTAACTTTATCAAGACTGGGCCAAAATTGTTATCATTTTGATGATTCCAGATCGAACCTTGCAGTAGTACACACCAATACTTATATGCTAGATGATCCACCTTTTCTGATCGATTCCACAGCGTTTCTTTCACACTGCAATCGCATGACCATAACTGGTCTTTAACTTTAATACTTGAGTTAATAATGTTAAACACTAGCACTGTCTATACTTGTATGCTCAAATAACTAAGTGAGAAGAAATGACTCCATTTTCCAATTCTGTGTATATAGGATTTTGAAGGAAAGACAAAATGACAAACTTCAAACTTTATAACTGTGAAACCTGAAATGCATGTGAGGTGAACATTAGTTGACGTGGCTTAATTGCATGTGTGAGTAGTTCTATTCACCTTGGGTCATTACTTAAGATTCTTTGAAATATCCCCTTCACTGCACTTAATTGGCATTGTATGGGGACCATTTTGTTTTGGTAATGAATAGGGAGTTTCTAGGGTGTTTAATCCACATTCCTAATCCATGCATAGTAGAGTGGAGGGGAGGGGGACAATACCCCCTCCCAGCTCTGCCTCATTTGATCAGCATCTTTCAAATGATAAGAAGACAAAATGATTATTGGACCATGTGGATGGTGGTATTCATTAGACCAAATTATAAGTAGACAAAATGATTACAATAGCCCCTCCCAGCTCGACCCGCCTCATTTGATCAGCATCTTCCAAGAGAGCAACACATACTTTAGGGAAAGCGTTCCTCTCCCCAGTACTCGAGTTTGGGTAAGTTAGCCTTTACAATATATCATAAGTTTGGAGTCAGAAGTGTGTTAAATCTGCATCAAAATACAGGAAATCAATAAGTTAAATAAGTTAAATGAGTTAAATGGGTAAAATAGAACACCCTCCCAGCCAGTCGTGACAGCCCCGTCTGTCGAAGCCTTTCGTCTCCAGTAGCATCCTGGTTGTGAACATCTTAACTTTTTCATTCTCACTTGATATTTATTTTCATTTAGTAAAAAAGAAAGAAAAAAGTCTGTGACATATATGAACGTGCCTTAAACACAGATCTAACTCCCTTTTGGTTCTTGGCAGATGATGTTCTCATATATAGTGTTCTTTAGATTTTTGTGCCAAATTTTGGGTGTTGCAACAGAACAAAAATTGCCCCCACGTTCACCTTACAGAGTACATGACTAAGAGGGGATTTTTGTGCCATGTGTTGGTGTTGCAAAAGAACAACAATTGCCCCCACTTTCACCTTAACACTACTAAAAGGGAATCTCTTTAAACTACATTTTGTTTTCATAAAGAAGCATTTTATTCAAACAAAAAAGGACATTCTCTCATGTTCCTCATTGAAATCTGGGATGGAAGTTGAATTGTGCGTGACATTTTTATTAGCGGATGTATATGTATCTATTTCAGGAACATGCATGTCGCAGGGTCGCTAACATCAAGGCACTGTCGTGAGACTGAGTGGTATTGCGCAATGTAATGTACACTATGTCCTTTCAATGAAATAATAGAAGGTTCTTGAATGGCAGTCATGTTTGTCATACTTGACACAGTTATTACCTCAGCTTTTATACGGCTGCTATTACAGAGCTCTAATTTTTTGCAATCAATTACGAACTCCCAAAATCAAGCGCAAGTCTTGCGCTGATTTGCAAATTTTGCAATTGATCGCGTCTCAACTTTCTTACAGTAATATACCCATTAGTGAGAGAGAGAGAGAGAGAGAGGGTGGGGGAATAAAAACTAGATCTAGTTAACTTTTTTAATTGTTAAAGCTTCGGAAATTTAGGAGGCTAGTTGCAAGGATGTTGAGTTATCAATCGCAACTTTCTTGCAACGCCCCCTTTAGTCTTCTTACCTTCTGTTTTTCCAATGGATGCATTTTATGGGGATCGCGCAATTAGTCGAGACTTTGCGCTCTGTTTGGGACGTAAGGGAGGGGTGAAATAAAAGGATTGAGGAAGAAAAAAAAATGTAAAAACAGACAGATTCTAGACAACCCATGGAGCTGTGACGCTTTACCAACACTTTGAATTTCATTGATTAGGACTTGAAATAGACAGATGCCACGCCTTCATGTACAGCAGTCTATAAAGAAACATTTTGGTTTCAACATACCATCAAAAAGTCTGTATCCAAAGACTATCCAACCCTATCATATTATTTAATTTCTTCTTTTCTGTCTTTCTCCTCTTTTTTTTGCACCGGCTATCACGTATCAGGAAGGATGACAGTTCTCTGTCTCTCTCTTTATGTTACATGCTGAGAGGAATTTCCTACTGGATTAAATTACAAAACAATGCTTGCATCATGAGATCACATGAGTCTAATTATAACATGCAATGCCATAACAATACATGATCAATGTATCAAAGTTGAATATTGATTATCAAGTGGGAGCATTATTGGTGAAAGTGATTGACTCTTATATGAAAGGTCATGGGTTCAATACCCCAGGGCAGGTTTGTCCGTTAGGCAGGGTATTCAAATCAGGAAATTATCAGGCCAGTAACGTTTTTATAATTATCATTATCCCTCATAAATGTATCATGGCGCAATCTTATCTCTAATTTTGATATTTGCTTCCATTCACTGTTTATTTTATGAAGAAAAAAAATTATCCCTGGGAAGGCTTTTATATAACATACATGCCTTTTAAAATCATCAATATTTAATGCACTTTTATGATCCCTCATAAGTATTGTAATTGATCTTGAATTCATCATTCATCATAAAAAACATACAAAATACAAAACATAGTGTACAAGTTAAAGAAAAAACATTTAACAACAACAAAAATGTCAAATGAATGTGGAGACAGCTTGGGAAGCCAAAAGCTTTATTGGTGCTGCCACCAAAAGTGTATCATATCCTGTCACATAATTTGATAAAAATTTCTTTTGTCAATGATTGTTTCGGGAAAAAACCCAGAGAAGGAGTACACTTGCATTAAGAGCATTTTGAAGATGTGATTATTCTCGAGCTTTTACAATTTCAGCATTTCCAGGTCTCTGACGAGTATATCATACGCAATCCAATCTCAGGTTATTATGATCTAACTGCGTATTGCCACATTTGTTTTGGAAATACCCAGTGTGGGGGTGTATTTACATATAAGCTTTTTAAATTATTAGTATGCATGATAGTGGCCATGCATCTGCCTTTTAATTGGGCAGCATGTGCATCCTTCATGCATATTCATGACTGTACCTTTGATCTCGATTCTGATTGGCTGCAGCTGAGGGGCTTGTTCAAGAGATTAACAAGACTTGAACTTTGCCTTGTGATGGTGGATGTAACCCTACAGTCTACATGTGCAGACCCTTTTAAAACTAAAGCTATTTGCTTCAATGGATCAATTCCATGGAAGGAATAGTCAAATTTTAATGAAATATTGGCAAAATTATTTATCAAGCACAATATTAGAATCTTCTATCGATCATCTTCTCTCAGTTTGACTGTTGATTGGACTATTTTTTGTAACATTTTTTCATACAGCTCTGTTCTAGTACACTCTTCTCCACTAGAATATGAAATATATATCAGACAAAAATAAATATACTAAAAACAATGAAAAGCCTTTGCCATGGAGTTAATTTTCTAACAACCACAGCCCCCCCCCCCCTCCAAAAAAAGAAAGGGAAATTACATGTAAAACAAGGGATTTTAAAAAATAAACTTAATGATTATTAATCAAAGAGAAGTATTATGAAGATATCATGTCTTGCTTTTATTGCGTTTTGGCTTACATGAAAGATAAACAAATTCGATATATTATAGGGGGGGGGGTGGGAGGGGGACTGTGATGCCCCTTTGATCGCATTAATAACCTTTAATCCACTTACAGGAATAAGCCAGTTTCGTAATGTAACCAAATTTAATGCATACGTCTTTGTGAAGTGCCTCAATACAAATTATTTCATTCACCTGATAAGAATAATAGTATTTCAATAGTCAGAATGCAACTGCATATATTAAGTGTTGCTAGGTAGGTCAAGCCATAATGTTTGTCCAACCTGGCAACAACTTAATATATGCAGTTGCATTCTGACTATTGAAATACTATTATTCTTATCAGGTGAATGAAATAATTTGTATTGAGGCACTTCACAAAGACGTATGCATTAAATTTGGTTACATTACGAAACTGGCTTATTACACCTGCTTTCATCAAGTGGTATAATATACATGTTTTGGGGGATCTGTTTGCTGGGCTTGATAACACACAGTTCAAGCTAAGATTCTAAATCACTAAGCTGAAAAGGAACCAGTCAACCATCAAAATAGCAGACATCAGCGCATTCGTAAATTGTATAGATTATAGAATCATTCAAGAAAGCTTTACAATGAAACCTTGGCAAACTATTGAATTTTTGAATCAGGTGCATAGCAACCATTAGGTCTGCTCTCTCAGTTATATGAGGAGGCAGGGGTGTACTGTGTTGCAAGTCAATAGTTCAGAAGTAGCAAATATCACAGATTTTCTTGTGTGGGGGGGGGGGGGGCGTAAGTCCCTAAAACATCTGTGACAGGCAAATTGAACAAACACAAATTTTAGCTGCCACAAGGGCAATAGATTTTGATAAATGATCACATAATGTGCCTCCATCTAGTGTCCCTACCCTGCCCAATATCAAATACATTAATATCTTTATGAGCTAGCATCATAAACAGAGCAAATACTCACCTATAATTAATTACCTCTCACGACAACAAATATTGACATGTTAATGTGCGAAGATTTAGAGGAAATAAAATACAATTTCTTCCATATACATCGAATGGTATACCTCCCTTTTCCTTTTCACCTTTCTGTTCACTTACAGGTGATATTTCAATATCAAAACATCCTCAAACATTTCCCTGAAGCTCATTTGTCAAAAATAATTTGAAACAAACGCTGTCATTCTCAACCTTGTACCAGAAACCAAAAGATAATGCTGACAGCAAATGTAGTTCTGCACTCAGACTAGCACTTAGCACTCTGCTGGCATGAGTTTCTCACCTAGGGTCTGAATTCGCAAGACTAGGACACGACTAGACATGGTTTAAATAACAACACAATGCACAGCCCATCCCACTTTGCAGGCAGACCCGCACAGCAGCACTTCTGGCCTTTTCTATGCTCTTAGCATGCAGTGCAGTGCACTACACTACTCTCCACTGAAAATATTGTACAACTATATTAAATCAATTTTGCTGTTTACAACTGGAGCCACTTGCATCAACATCTGGTTTGTGCTTTGTTTACATGTAGCTGAGAGCTAAAGAGAACAACTGCGTATTGGTTTTCAGTTTCTGCGGGTATGTTGTCAATATTAATGATTTATTTTTAATGTTAATGTTTTCCTCAATATTTGATTCTAATAGCAGTTGTTCCTCCCCTCATTAGATTGACAGACTACAATATTTCAAATCTTGTCTCGATACCTTTATTGGCGAATGTGTAAAACTGATGTCGTTGAAGAGCCTGCACCTTTGAATGTAATTTTAAAACAGATATATGATGCCATATACATGTAGGCCTATATGATGGATATTATCATTATTTTGATACTGAGAATACTATGGATATGAATACTTCGGAACCAAGTAAGTTCGCTCCTGCTCATAAATGTATTACTTCTAGAAATTATTACAATGTCCAGGAGTGATAGTGAGAGTTAAAAAAAAAAGGTTTTTAGAAATCTGAGCAAGGCGTTCATTTTTATTTGAATTAACTTTGATATCTGATACACTGCAGAAAAACTCTTTTTTTAAATTTTATCATTAAGTTTATTCAATTCTTCGAGGTGCATTAAGTGTAAGTGCTCACTACTACATGTTATGTATGTTCTCCTTTCAACTGTCTTTAAGTAGCTGATACATCTCAAGAAAAGAAAAGAAGAAAAAAAAAAAAAAAAAACGAAAATGCAAACAAACATTGCCATATTGTCATATTATCATACCTCTTTATGCTTCTGTACTATTTACAATCGTAATCTAGTGTTTACTACCGTGATGGTCATGATCATACTGAGTATGTAAACTGTTGAACCATGCAGAAATAATAAATGAATGAATAAATAAATATTGGCTTGTGAAACCAAAAGGCACTTCATTTTGGCAGGTAAAGTGATTAATTATAGCTACTATGCTTGCCTTTAATCTTACATTAATTATCTGACGATCACAGAAAAAAGCATTTAGTACTGGCTCGTGAAAGCGTGAAACCATAGCAATTTAACTAATACTGGTACTTACACTGTGCCTGCATTACTTTCGCTATAATGACATTTAATGGTTTTCTATAAAGTTCATCCTGATACAAAGAACCAGACTAGGATTTTTTTTTTTTAATGGGGGCTACTTCTCCCATTGCCTCAAAAAACCAAGGGGCTCCTTTTGAAAAAAAGGGCTACTTTCTTAAAGGCCATATTGTAAGTTGTAACAATGGACTTTAAAACCGAGGTGATTCAATTATTGCAGGCAAGTGAGGCAACTCTAATGTTTTCCTTCATATCAATTTAATATCTGAATATCTGCATCTTTTTCATTATCAATATAATTCAATGCTTGAAAACCTGTAATTATTAGCTACTGACATACAATGCTGCATATCGATGGCTTAATAATTTTAAGGCAATTCAATTTCCGAAATTGCTTTATGTTTTCCTTCAAATTTACATTAAATATCTCAAAAATCTAAACAATACATCTACCACTGGCTTGAGGAATCCAAACAATTTAATTCATACTGGGACGTACAGGTACCTCTATTATTTCATAAAAAGGAGAAAAATCCCATGCCAAGTCTCATTATTAACAATGCAGGGCTAATAACAAAATGGACTATAAAACTGAGGCGATTTGATCATTGCAGGCAACTGCTTCCTGTTTTTTCATATTTTTCCATACACGCTTTCATCATTAATGAAGGCAAAATTCAAGGTCTTGAAAATCTGCATTAATTACCCACTGACATACGATGTAATGCTGCATATTGATGGCTTTTGTAACAAAGGCATTTTAATATCCGCAGGTGCTGTACATGAACGTTTTTCTTTACACTAACATTAAATATCCAATATATCTGAAAGCCTTAGCCATTGGCTTGTGAAACCAAAGCAATCAAATTCATACTGGTACCTCTATTACTTTTGCTATAATGGTTTCCTTTAAAGCCTGTCTACACTAGTTTGACCAAGAGGAATTAGACCTCCTGCATGGTCACTGACAGGTGGTAAGAAAAAGGGGACCATGGGAGACCAACAGTCACCGCTAAGGCATTATTTGCTACATAGAGGGTGCAAGTAGTGCAGTGGGGCTTTAAGGTTCATCCTGATTCATCAAAAGAACACCAAAATTGTGTTTAAAACTGAGGTAATTTGATCATTGCAGGCAACTGCATCCTGTCTTCCTCTATATTTTTTCCATAAAACTGGCTTGAGGAACTGATGCAATTTAATTCATACTGGTACCTGGATCGCTTAAATGATATGGGTGTCCTTTAATCTTTTCCGGTACAACTAAGGATATGCGATATGGTATTTAAAACCGAGAATATTGCAGGTACAAAGCCAAAGGCTTGTTAAAAGTATGCCACATCAAACTGCCACAAATTTCTTTGGTACGTGTAACTCAAAGCCAGCTACTACATGCGTAAATGGTTTGCAAGTGGGGATGGAGATAAAAGTAGCCAGTAAAAAAAGCAATCTCTATGCTTTCTGATTTATAATTCCTCTGTGTTATAAGATAAGAAAATGTGAAAGAGCAGTACACTTTAAAATACTCTGCATACCATTACCATCATGGCATATATATTTGAATGAATAGGGCTTTAATATTGCCATAAAGATTTTCATTTCTTTAGAACTACGTGGAGCTTTTCTTGTTAAGGGTATAACCAGGGGTGAATCCAGGATGTTTTCAGGTGGGGGAGGTAGTGGTCACATACAATTTTGAAAAATTCTGACAAAAAAAAAGATATGCTTTTTTTTTTTTCTTCATATTACTTCGGTCAAAAATGTAAAGGCAGTGCACAAGAACATACAATTAGTGGGGTACATACATGTTTTGTATACTTTATGCCAAATAGGGTTTAAAGGGGAGCGGGCATGGGGTATCCCCCACCCCCCCTTGTGCCCCATAAATCTGGCATTAAAAAAGCCCTCTGTTAAGGATCCCACATTGAGCCAAGCAAAATGTACTCTGCGGTAATATTTAATCTCACTGAGTAGATTATGCAAATACTCATGAACATGTAGCATCCATTAAAAAACTTGTCCAAATAAGTTTATATTATTTATGTTTTTTCTTTTAGCTAATAAATTTCCATATCACAAACATAATACTTGTAAAAAGGCATCAACCATAAATGACTCATTGCTTTTATGCACTCAAAATAGGCGACAACATTTTAACGCCTTCAATGTTCAATAATGATGGGGCCACACTCCCACAGGGTAAACAAAAATATCAGAATGCAATAACAGAAAAAATGTACATAAACAAACAGCAAACAAATATAAAAATATACCAAACATACCAGGGTTCAGTGAGCAATGAAGCTCTCAATTGAAAATAAAAAAAGGGCGTAAACCATATGCGCCACAGGCTCTTTCATGAAATAACAATAGGGAACAGCATTGCGACGCCTTCAATGTTCAATAACGATAGGCCACAGGGTAAAAATAAATACCAGAATGCAAAAACAGAAAAAAGTACATATTATAAACAAACAAATGTCCCAAACATACCAGGGTGCAGTGGGCAGTGAAGCTCTCAATTGATTGAAAATAAATAGGCGTCAACTATAAATGGCTAACTGCTTTTATGCAATCACAATAGGCATCAAAATTGCGATGCCTTCAAGTTCAATTCAATAATGATAGGCCACAGGGTAAAACAAAATAATGCTCTAGAAATAAAAGAAACCTCTGCCCCCCCCCCACCCCCACCCCCCCACACACACAAACAAAATAACACATAATGTACACATGTATTGCTGGATATCTGCAATATGAGCTTTTGTGAAGGAAAACAAATAGCATTTTTCATGCTGGTAGGCCTGTGGATTCTGCATGCCCAACTTGAAGGAAAATGGCACAAGCATAAAAGGCAGTGTTTTGCCTATTGCCATGGTAACCAGAGCTGTTGACCATTATTCTAATATCACCATCACTACTAATTGATTCAATCTCTCTTCTGAACAAAATGACATCCGATGATGAGCAAATAGCACTTGGAGTTTGTGTAATTTTTTTTAATCTATCCCTCTTCGTCTTCTCTCTGAGAGGATTTTTGTCTTCTGTTTTTCCTCCTCGATTTTAAGGAGATTAACACCATGATCTGTATCCTACAAAAATGTAAACCGAATGCTGGGCTTAAGATTTTTTGTTTAAAAAATCAGGCTGAACAAAGGAAGCTAGTTTGGGGTCAAGGGTTATCCTCGTTAGATGTGATATAAGACCCAGGGTCAGGTTTAAGTGAATTCAAACAATATGGTCCGATGGGTATACTTTGAGTGCTACTCTATAAATCAAATGGAATATGGTTGTCTAAATGTGTCTAAAACACATTTCTATTCAAGAATTGTTATACTATACCGGTATGTGAAAATCTATCAATGATGAATCATCTGCTATAATTATAGCTTTCCACTATTAACAGCATCGATTAAAGGTAAAGACCAGTATTGGAAACGCCCCAATTTCAAAAAATGAAATGGAAGCTCTCATTACCAATCATGTGAAAGAATATGTTTTGACTAATACATGATGATAAAAAATTTGCCGGGAAACCGCCTACTAATTCATTTATTTGGTAAATTTGTTTCTCTCATGGTCTGTGAGAGATATAGGGTAGTCCCATATACATCTTTCTGTGTATAGTGCTTGTAACTTTACAAAGAATGGGCCAAATTTCTTATCATTTTGATGATTCCAGAACCTTGCAGATGCTAGATGCTAGATGGTCAACCTTTTCTGATCGATTCCACAACGTTTCTTTCACAATGCAATAGCATGACCTTAACTGGTCTTTACCTTTAACCTAGAATTTGGTATGGAATGTTATTCAAATACTTTGAGAACTAATTAGGGGAGCATTATCTGTTTGCAATAGCCCAATAGACACTGTCATACTACATGTATATCTTTAAATTCTAGGTCATCATGGTGTTTCATGAGATATATATATATTTTTTAAATGGCAAGTAAATTTCAAGTTAAGCTAGCACACTGAACAAAGTCTGCTCTTTTGGTGGCCATTTAGCAGGGGAAAAACTCAATAGGCTATAGGTTAATACAAATTTTGATAAATTATTAGCTATTAGACCACAGAATATGAACAAATTTCAAAACAACTTATCTATGATGGCCCATATTGTCAATATTTTTTGATAGAAGGTATATTACTACTCTTCCTTTCTTCTCTCTATGTCCTCTCCTTTTTTAATATGTTTATACCCTTTCTTCCTTTTGCTCCCTCTCTCTCTCTCTCTCTCTCTCTCTCTCTCTCTCTCCCTCCCTTCTCTTTCTCTTCCCCCTTACTCTCTTTCCCCCTCCCTTCCCCTCTCCTCTCTTTCTCTCTCAATTTCCCTCTCCCTCCCTCCCTCCCCTCTCTCTTTTCCTCCCCCCTCTCTTTCTCTCTCTCTCTCCCTCCCTTCTCTCTCCATCCCTCCCTCTCTCCCTCCATCCTTCCCTCCCCTTCTCTCTCTCTCTCTCTCTCTTCATCTTCTTTGTCTTTTGTTTTTCCTATTCTTCGTTTTCCCCTTCTCTCTCCCCCTCCCTCCATCCCAGTAAATTACCTATACACATAAATGCATTGATCTATTGGTCTATCAGATTGTCTAACCAACTCTTATAAATTCTCTCCTCTTTCCAACAGATTAAAAGAGCCCTGACCTAGGACTGCCAAACTTCTTCAAAAGAAAGCTGACAGAACTGATATATCAAGCAACTATACTACAAGACCAAGTGATGACTTCTCAAAAATATTGCAAATAGAGGATCAAGGGCAGCAGAAACAAACTACTTCTTGTTCCAACTTGCCTCAGATTAGCAGTTATTGCAAACAAATAACACACACTGTCTATTCCTGATGCAAGATAACTTTGGGGAATTCCACATTCCATATCTGTACTGAAATAGAGTTAATTATTCATACATTCCTGCATGTACATCAACATCTACACTATACCGGGGAATTCCAACTTTTGGCAACGGACGTGTGTTGCTAAGGGAACAGCCGCCCATGTTGATGTTTGACTGAGTGAACACAAGGTTAATTGAATAGCGACTGTCTGCGAAGCTGCTTTGTGACGCAAGAACCACGCTTTCAGAACCTCGCCATTTGTTCAGATGATCAAGATAGTCTGTCTGGTGCAATAAACATTGATATCTGCACAACATAGTTCACAGAGGACAGTTAGTGCTATACTTTGACTGACTTTCACTACACAAGAACAAATGAGTGGGACAACAGGAAACAACAACAGGATCATGGAGGAATCGCAATGCCAGAAGAGCTCCTCCACCAAGGCCCAGGCCTTCTATAACTTCTTCCGGAGCATGAACAACAACGAGATCCAGATCAATCTGGGCCAGATCGCGTCAAACCCGGACCTGGACAAGCAGGACCTGGCCCTGCTCGTGCTGATGCTTAGGAACATTTCACAGCCATACGTGAGGCGGCTGATCCGCGAGTCGTCGTGTTCGCAGATACTGCAGGGCATGCTGGAGACGGTGAGGAACAACGAGAACAAGAGAGGGATGAGACCTTTCCCTGATGACGTGGAGGAGATTGAGATGATCATCCATGGCCCTCCTCTAAGCCCAGACATTGCATAGATCTTGTCAAGTGCACTTTAAAGACATATAGAAGTCAATCACCAGGGATAGCCTTCAGTTTTATGACCATTAGACCTTATTGTAATGCTTTGCTTTTCCCTCACCCAAAGACTCTCCGAAAAACTAGCGGGTAATTCTTGAAGGGGCTACGGGTTTGCTGTGTGCGGATTTGTATTCCCATAAATGGTATTTCCAACAAGTCTGGTGTCAGCGAATTATGGCTTTCTGTACATGGAAACTGACGACCCACTCCCCTTAAAACATTGCAGGGTGCATGACTTGCTAACTTTGAGTTCTACATTTAACAATGTCAGGCAGGTGGAGAAGATTTATCTATGGCCCACCTCTAGCGTAGCTGTTCTTTATCAAGATTCAAGATAATTTATTGTGTGATTTAAAAAATACAAACAAAAATTGTCCTCCACTGGCAAGTGACATACATATACAAACAACATATAAATACATTCGAGGATACAAAGAATCAAATTGAACTTCAAAGAAACATTACGAAGCTGGTCCAACTTCAAGCCCAGATGTTTAGTAAAACTCTTGTTGATCTTAAATGTAGCCTATCAAGTGCATTCTTAAACGCTGAAGGTGCATAACTAGCTCCATTGGAGTGATAACTTCAAAGATGAATTGAGAAGATGCATCTAGAATACTATCTGCAATCCACTTTGAAGCCGAGATGCTTCCATAAATCATGTCAGACTTTTCTATTGTGTGAATTTTAAAACATTGCAGGGTTCATAACTAGCTCATTTGAGTTTTACATTAACAAATGACAGCAGAGTTTACAAGATTACCATCTATGGACCCCCTCTATGAAAGCCCTTTCACTTTTCTTTTAACTTAATGGTGAATGAAACAATCATTGGGAGAAAAAATATGAAGGACATAATCCATTACCAAGGAATGATAGTGACCTTATTCAAAAGGTGTACCTATGATAAGTCAACTTTCAGAATGGTCTTCTTAGGGGAAAGCTGACGATCTGTGCTTTCGGAGTAACATATCTTATGAAGAAATGTGCCGTGAGAGGATAACATAACTTCTGTGTTTCTATCACCTCTAGCATTTCATAAAGAAATGTTTTTTTTAATGTTTCTTTGAGAAAAAAAAAGAACTTCTGTGTTTCTATCACCTGTGGCATTTCATACCTGTCAAGTAACACATCACAAACAAACACAAGCTATTACAAAGATAAGGAACTTGGTTAGAATCGGTAACATACCTGCGCACCCACACCAGCTCTAGCATAGTGGTTATCTGGGAGGGACTCCATCTTCTTAAGCTTGCTCTTCCCTGATTTCTCTCCTTCTGCTTTCCTTTCCTTCATCTTCTGGACCCCTCCTTTCTTTCCACCAGCTTTCCCCTTTTGACTGTAATGATGGACAGAAGAATTGAAAATGAAAACAATGTCTACTTGATGAAATAATGGAGAAAAGAACGAAGGGAAAAAAGGAGTTATATAACGGCAGTAACAGGCAGTTTTATACACATAGGCCCGAATTCACAAAGAAGGACCTAGGGTTATGTGCATCATATGACACGTTTTGACACGTTTCGGACCAAGCTTTGTCTGAACCTTGGTCTGAAACGCATTGAAACGCCTCATATGACGCACATAATCCTAGGTTCGTCTACAAACCGCCTTTGTGAATTCGGGCCATAGAGTCTGGACGCAGGTACAAGTTAAGGAAAACAACCTTGCTGAAAATTTCTTTCTCATTGCACCTGTTATATGTACATATATATAGTCAATAACCTTTTGGACGGATCATGTTGAAGGTTTTTAACAAATTTCAAGTATAAACATAACCTATGTGTATAAGCATTTCCTCTAATACTTCGTGCCTTACAGTTACCCAATGAAACTATTTTTACTCCAAGAGGAAAGGCTAATTCTCTCATAAGGATTGTACTAGAATACTAGTGCAAAAGTTGATTATAAGCAGGGCCATTCAAAGCCATAGGGGTGGTATATAAACCCTAGTTACTTCTCTCTATCTTTCTCTCTCTCCCTCCCTCCTTCCCCTCCCCCTCAATATCTCTCTTCCTCTCTCCTTCCCCCTCTCATTCTCTCTCTCCCCTCCACCTCTCTCTATCTCCCTCCGCCTCTATCTTTCTCTCTCTCCCTCCCTCCCCTCTCTCTTTCCTTTCCTCTCTCTCTCTCTCTCTCTCCCTCCCTCTTCTCTCTCTCCTCCTCCCTCTCTCTCTCTCTCTCTCTTTTTCTCTCTCCCCCTCCCCTCTCTCTCTCTCCCTGTCTCTATCTCACTACCTCTCTCTCTCTCATTCTCCCTCTTTCTTTCCCCTCCCTCCCTCCCTCCCTCCCTCCCTCCCTCCCTCCCTCCCTCCCTCCCTCCCTCCCTCCCTCCCTCTCTCTCTCTCCCTCCCTCCCTCTCTCCCCTTCTCTACCCCTCTCTACTATTCATCCTCTATTTCATAAAACATATCACTTTCAAAAGATTTCCCATGTTCCTTTTTCTTTGTGTGTGCTCTTTTCAACGTTTATTTTTCTAAAAAGTCCCTATAAGCTACAATGTATTTCAAATTTCAAAGATATTTTTTATAGCATTATGAAAGCTGAAATTAATAGGTGAATTGTGCACTTCTTCAAAATAGCTTTGTGAAATAAAATGTAGCAATTACAATGCATATTGAGCATCTATAAAAGCAATGTAAAATATGTGAACTATCCTAATATCAATATATTATGTATATATACCTGTATATTACAAAGTCTATATTTCTCATATTAAACACATTTTCTACTTGGACAAAATATGAGGAAGGAGGGGGAGAAGGGGACGCTTGAAGCATGTTTTATATCTAGATAGCTAAAATTATTAATCAATTTAAATTCTTTTAAACGTCATATGAAATGAAGTCTCAATCCCTCACAGGACTCAATTAATTACATGTCGGCTTTCAAACAAAACATTGTATATTGTTATTGATTTCCCAAAAATTGTATTCTTATCATTATTTCTGATCAAAACTTTGGTAAACCGTGAGAGTCAAAATTCAAATGGTTCAAGCACAGAGGAGAATGGGTGCATGTCTCACAGTGGAAAATTAGTAAGAAACTAATGTTCAGAAAGAAGAAAACCAAGAAGGCGATAAATGTAGTTTATATGCTTGTACATACATATATATATGTCTCTTTAACTGTAACCTTGAAATATTGTACTTTATAGATCTATAATGCCTTTATGATTGTTCCTGCTTTGGGTAAAATAATAAATTTAACAATTTTTCTTCACAATGACCCGAGTGAATGTTGTTCTTTCTCAAGTTGAATTCTAAACTCCAGCTCAAAGGGAAGGTGGTACAGTCAAATCTGATTTGCTACCACCTGTGTAGAAAGACCACCTGCCTATAAAGACCACATTTTTAATCTCCCTTGGATATGTTTTCTCATTGAAACCTGAACTTATGGAATCTTTACGTAAAGACCACCTACCTTTAAAGACCACTTTTCTTTTCTGCCATTAGCGGTCTTTATATTCCAGCATAACTCTGACCCTATATCTAGATAAAATCAGGCCCGGAGCGACTATTATCAAGGCAAATATTGGGTCAGTAATGTCACCAACTGCCATTGTGATAAGTATAGTTCTGGTTCTAGTACTTTACTGATCTCTTATGCTTACTATATGCCTTGTTGAAGGACCAATTATGCACAGGACTGATGGAAGGTAGGACCAAAGGGACCACAGGTACTTCTGACCAACAGGACCAAAGGTGAACAGGATCAGTAGGACCACTGGCATTTAAGACCCATCACTTGTTACCCCTTGACTTACCCTTTTCTCCCCTGTGACGAGTATAGCTCTGGTTCTAGTACTCTACTGACCTCTCACGCACATAATATGCCTTGACAGAGGAGGGATGGGTAGGACCAATAGGACCACAGGTGTTTTGGCCCAACAGGACCAATGGCAAATAGGACCAGTAAAACCAATGGCATTTACGATCCAAGTGTTACCCCGTGACTTACCTTTTCTCCCCTGTGATGAGTATAGCTCTGGTTCTAGTACTCTAGTGATCTCCTCCTGGGCTGCCATGTAGTCTCTCCTTTGCTTGTAGAGCTCCTCTCCGGTATCACTGCCACTTGTACTTGCATCTCTCGCCCTTTGGTGACCTTTCGTTTGCTGCAGATGACGATAACAAAATAATAGATACATGTACAGTCAAACCTGCTTTAGTGACCACCTGTCTACAACGACCACCTGTCTACAACAAGCACATTTTTTGTTTCTCTTGAAAATGGTTTCTCATTGAAACATGTATTAAAGGAACCTGTCTACAAAGACCAATCTTTGTGTTTCCCTTGGGCGGTCGCTATAGACAGGTTTGACTGTATCATGACGAAAGTACAAAATAATAATTATAATGATGATTGACATATCATATTGAGTATCGTTATCCCTTGCACTCGCATCTCTTGCCCTCTGATGACCTTTCGGTTGCGGCAGGTAACAACAATAACAATGACAGAATTGATGATGATTGATGATGATGATGAAGATAATTAAAATAACAAGAGTAAAAGTAGAAGAGAAATGAGACAGAGAAAGAGAAGAATAAAAGGTAGAAGAAGATGAGGAGGAGGAGACGTCGAAAGATTAGCCCTGAATGCATTGTTTCTACTCATAAATTCTTCTCCTGGCAGCAGGGGATTGCTCCTCATTATAAATACACCTTTGTTGTTAGAGGGGGTGCTTCATTTATATGCATATACACAGTTAGGCAAACATAGCTCCATCACTAACAAGCTTTGCTTGTTGCTATGATTTGGAAATAAAAACCAATTTGTATTGAAGTAAATTTGAATTTTGAAAAAGGAGAGTGTAGGGAGTTGCCACTTGGACCAGACGTACCTTTGCTGGTAGAGGGGGTACTAGCGAAGAACTTGATGAACCGCTGGGGGTGGGCGATTGACCTACAGGGTAATGGTTTCTTGAAGAGTGTAAAACAGGCGAAACGTGGCCCTCAACAGTTCTAGAGGGAAAGAAGAAAAATGAGAGTTTCAATAGTTAATTTACATTTTCTACTTGTTGGTTGGATCATCAAGTCCTTGGAGAAAAGAACCTAAAAATTCACTCTTTGTCACAAGCACTGTGTCTGCGGATTCACATATATATGTACTTGTCCTATTACAACTATCAAAGAGAATCTGACTGGCATGTGCATTTCACAATCATCTATTAAAATGACCTGAGTAAGAGTCAAAACAAATGTAAATCTTAAATCAAGTTTGTAAAAGTTATAAAGTTTCTCTTCTTTGCCCCTCCCCGAATCACAAAAAATAACAATGTTCACTTTCACTCTAGTTAGCTTCTTCTTTGTTTAGAGAGAAAACATTTTTACTGAACCATTAGAATCAAATCCTACCATATCAAATGAAATGAAATCAAATGAAATCAAACCAAACCACACCTTCTCGGCAGCTCTCTCTGTATCATCATTTCGGCTTCTTCCTCAATTTGCTGCTTCCGCTCCATGGTGCCTGCCTCCATACCAAACGCATTGTTGGCGTAATCCTGTTTGACCACATCGAATCCCCGAGGTACAGGCTGCAGATGCTGGTCCTGAGGGCTGGCGGGGTATTGCCTGTAAGGGTACTGAAATAGAGGGCGCCAGTCATTTGTTATTTGCAAGGGTCATACAGGTACATGCATATATCTACATTTACCATACTCTACCCAGGTGGGGTAAATGGGTACCCGATAGGAAGAAATTCCTTAAATGCTTGAGCACCTTTTCATGGTAGCTTGGCTACAGCCGAGGTAATGATATGATTGCAGGGCCCTCAGGGAGAACAGTATGAATACTGATGAGGCTACCCTGGGTAAACAAGACATATTATTATCATTATTATTATTATTATTTGATCAGTATATAGACTGTACACTTTATGTAGGAGTTGTTTCATATTCTATGCCTTTTCCAATGAAACAGAAGGGAATGCACTGTGGCTTGCCTGTGAGGGTACTGAAATAGAGGGCGTTATTCATTCACCATTCACATGAATGATACAGTCATGTGAATGTGTGATGACTTTAAAGATAAATCGACTCTTGCAGGAGAAGTTTTGTAGGCATTTCTATTTTTTCAAATGGAGAGAATATTGCATATATGTGCGCTGGCTGAGTATTTCTTGACAGAGCCCTTAAAGGGATCCAGTAACTTTGTCTCAGATTCTGAAACAAAATTCTGGATTTAGCTCATGATGCAATGATAATTATAAACCTTTAGGTCAGTCAGGAACCCCATGACTTTTACAAGCCGATCGCCTGTCTGATTATCAAGATATTTATGATTGGAATTACAAATTTTGAAAACCGTTTGCCTCACGTTTTTCATAACACTACAGTCTATTGGGGAAAACGAGTATGGTAAAACCGGTCACTCAAAGATTTTCACTTTTTTGAGGCACTTCTTGATATTTTGAAGCGCAATTTTTTTAGGGCTTCAATATTACACCATATCACAGACACTGATAACACGTAGGGCCGTGTATCTCAGATTTAACATTGTTAAACGATCCCTTTAAAGCCAAATTAACAAATCTAATAGCCATTTTTTGTTTTTAATTTCCTGTGCAAATGCAATCTAATAGGCACAAAAGACAAACATGCTTTACTCCTTCTGTTTCATATGGCATACTTTCAGGGATATGTTTTACAAAATATTGAGAAAAAAAATGGGATTTGCCCTGAATGAGGATACAGCGAAACCTGTCTATAGCGACCACCCAAGGGAGACAAGGAAAGTGGTCTTTGTAGACAGGTTCCTTTATTAGTACATGACCTGACTATTAGTATATTTTTCAATGAGAAACCATTATCAAGGGAAACAAAAAAGGTGGTCTTTGTAGAAAGGTGGTCGCTAAAGCAGGTTTGACTGTATAAAGATATTCATAAATATATAAATTGACAATCGGCTGTAGCTTACTTTTGCCTTGAATTGGAGCATCTTGAACGTATCAGGATCCATGGGACCGTCTTCCTTCCTTGGTTTGCGACCGCAGCAGCAACAGCAGCAGCAGAGGCAACAGAAGAACAGTAGAGCCAATGGAACGAGAACTGCCGCGATGATCCAAAGGCGGGCCGGAGGCGCTGATGTGGGCATGGCTGTAGTCGATGGCACAACTTCTGTATTTGGGAAATCCAATGAGGATAACATAGTTTCAGTTTCTCCTTTTCTTGATCGAAAATAGTTTTCAAAGTGATGAAAATTGCTGCGTAATACACAGATAGGCCTAAGCCTCGGGCGAGCTTGAATTCTTGATTTGGGAAATCAAGGCCCAAGTTCTTATAAGCAATTTTCCTCACCACCTTAGCTTTACGCATACCTGCCAGCCAACCATTACATTTGAAATATCAATAAATATATTTTTTTAAAGTCTAGTGGTGACCTATGATCACGTTTCCCTCAAGGAAGAAACTTGTGTAATAGAACCTGCCTAGAAGGACCACCTGTCTACAGTGGCCACTTTTCCTGTTTCCCTTGACTGGTCTTTATAGACAGGTTTCACTCTACATACTTTCAACCTGAAAATTGGATGCGGTCCTCTCAAACCCCCCCCCAAAAAAAAAAAATACAATAGGTCTGTCCTCATCAGCTCGAGATTGCCAAATAGCTTGCTATTTCTGATTTGGGAAATCCCAAAGTTACAAATCGCGTCTTCATCAGCTCGAGACTTGACCTCGAAACTTGAAACTCAAGCTCCAGATATTTTGCTCAGCGTTCACGCATAGTGCGAGTCTTCGGGCTGGTGAAGCCACAACTGACAAATAGCAGGATATTTTGCAAACTAGCCCAAGATATCTTGAGATGATTATCTCGACCAAATATCCCGCTAATTGCAACTTCAGGCTGATGAAGACGCAAGTTAACTGGATAATTAATTTGCGATCGGGATAGTTCAAATAGCGGGATAATTGGCAATCTCGAGCTGATGATGACAGGCCTACTATGTCACTCAAGTTGAACCAAAAAGGATTTAAAAAAAACAAAAATTCCTGACTAGAATCCTACAATTACCTATAGGAGGACTGTTCACTGGTTCATCAAGATAAAGGGTCATTTCTTGGAGGGTGAGCTCGTCCAACACCATCTTGGCATCCCCCGAGAGAAGTTTGGTACCTTCCTCCACTATGTAGAAAGTCAGTTCAACATCAGAGGGGTTGGTTTGTCTGGTCAAGTCGATTATCTGCACGAGGGGTGAAAATAGAAAGATGGATATTATCAGTGAGTAAGATTTGTTCATGATGTATGGGCGATATTAAACAAAAACAAATAGAAACATACTGGAGAAAAGTCTACCATTATCTCTTGATAATGTAATACTGTTACTGATGAATGGATAATGGATAATTGGTTAAATTTTGTCACATCTAATCACAATATATTCATAACTGCACAAATATAGGCAAAATAGGACAAAAAATAGACGATAGATAGGAGAAATAAAGAAAGTGAGATAAAAAAATAAAAAATAGAAAGAAAATCAAGAAGAAAGAAAAAAGATACAAGAGAGAGAGAGAGAGAGAGAGAGAGAAAGAGAGAGAGAGAAAAAAAGAAAGAAAGAAGGAACACCCCATCCAAGTTATGCTGAGGCACTACAGGGAACATAGTTGGCAAGGACAATAGTTCTTGTCCTTCCGTAATACTACAACACAGCCTTTAATCCCTCACTTCAAGTACACAGCATTATGAGCTTAGCCAGTTACCGTGGCGATAAAGAGCTTAATGATGCCATTAATCATCATCTGATAGGTCTATTCTGGGAAGTATTTTTAGGATGACGAATTTCAGGGGAAGCTCTGGCAAGGCGCCTAGAAACACCACCTGTTCTTCATACAATAGGGGGTGGTCTTCAAATACTAACCATGTTCAGACTACCAATATAATTTGCTTTTTTTTCTACTATTGCCTGTTAATTAATTTTATTCAAATTTCATTGTATGTCCATTTGTAAAGTGGCCCTCCTAATAAGTAAGCTTTGTGTCTCATAGGGGTCCATGTACTTCTGATGTATATTTTGTATGTATTTGTTATGTAATTATCCTGTCTTTAATGGAATAATAAATTGAAATTGAAGTGAATTTATCGCATAGCTATACGCAAAGTGATCAATCTTTTCCTAATCGGACTGTCGTGTTGTATAGCAAAACGACGGCTTAAGCATCGTTTCAAACAAAAACTCAATAAAGAATCAGGGTCCCGCAATAGTCTGAACGTGGAATTGTATAAAAATTATTCTTTCATCCCGTATGAATCAATATGGCAGTTGCATGTTTTCTTTCTATTTTTACCCCAATTTTTTTTATTTTCAGAGTCATGATGATAGCACTAAACATTGCCAAATATGGATGAAAATAACTTCACATTAGGTATTCTGATATTAGCCAAGGTATGCATGTATCTTTACAGGTATTTGGCTGCTATGAAAGGTCAAATCTAAGCTTGTTTATAGAGAGATTTAGATCTAACAACAGTATGTAGTAGATCAAGCAGGTATTTTCTATTGTACATTTTACAGGCATTCGGGTAACTACCAAAAATATTGGTGGGTACCCAAATTAAAAAGATATCCCTGATTCCCAGCCTTACTTAATCCTAAACCCAACCTAAAACCAAATTGAAATCTTAACCGTAACTTTAACATTTTTGAAAAAACAAGGCAATGAGTAAATGTCTAAAACAGTACAAATGTCAGGTCCTCTCCAATGTATGTTTCTATAGTACCTACATGTACATGGTATAGGTCCTTTTTTATGACCCTAATCCTAAACCCTAAAAACTATGTCTTTGATGAAATAAAGTCTGGTGCAATGGTCTGTGGAGCAAGTGTCTGGCCACCATCTTTCTTTTAAATTAATATATGCCTCATACCTATAATCATATCAATGTCAATTCTTTTTTATGACTGGCAACATGCCACAGATATCAGATTACATCTTCAAATTCGAGGAGACTTAATTTTTCTTGATCATTATCATATCTGACATCAAATTGGACAAGGACAGATCCCAGGTACGTTCAGAGCATGGGACAATGGCTAAAGAAAATAAATGACCAGAAAGACTGATAGAAGGAAATCAAATGAGGTATGACCAAACTTTCAAAAAGTATTGCTTGCCATAGATATGGACGAAATTGACAGTTTAGAACAATAGTTCGAAAATTGCAATTTGAGAATATCTCATGGTTTTTAAACATTTCCCCAGATTACCATGCAGTACTGTTTCAATTATCTCAAGGTTCGCGGTGAGCAATCGCGTAAAATGGTGAATACACACTGAAATATGCAAAGGCTAAAACAATCAGAGTATGCACGCAACCTTTGCAAAATGCTTGGGTAAAGACAAAATATGCCATAGTTAAGTTCAACTTAAAGTTGATCTTAGTCTTTGTGAAACACTCCCCAGATTTAACTGTATTACCTGTGCCGTGATCGCGTCCACTGTCACTGATCTTCTTCTCCTCCCAGCTGCTGGATCCACGGCGGGATTCTTCTTAGGATCCAGCTGCTCCAACAGCTCCTCAACCTCCACCATCCTCTGGTTGCTACGGCGATTAGCCTCCACGTACATCCTAGCCACGTTACCCTCCATCTCCTCAACATACGAGGGCGCTTTGATGTCGACATCCTCATCTATGCCCAGACCTACATGTAAAGTAGTATCATCAATGATAATGATGAGATGGCTCATGATTAGGCTCAACATTTTTAATACAAAGATTGCCTCAAAGAACATCCCGCCTAGGTTTAAAGCCCCACTGTACTACTTGTAGCTACTGTACTTGCTCCCTCTATATAGAAAACAATGCCTAAGCGGTGCTCCTTGGTCCCCCATGATCCTCTTTTTCTTATGTTAATTGAGAGCCGAGTTGATGAGATAGCCACCTGTCAGTGACCACGCTGGGCAGTCTAATCCCTCCTGGCCAAACAAGTACAGATGGGCTTTAATACCTTCCATACTCAACATGAATTTTTTTTTAACAGAAACAAGGATTTTCTGGGTCTAGTTGCTCCAACACGTCCTCAACCTCCATTTTCATCTGGTTGCTATGGTGATTAGCCTCAAGTTACCTCCTTGCTACCTGTAAGTTACCCTCAATTTCCTCAATATGCGGTAAGAGGGCGTCTTGATGTCAATGCCTTCATTGATACTAAGACCCAACGTGGTTGGTGAAATTTCAGTCATACATGCACCCTGAATAAAATTATTGCAAAAATTTTACTATACAACCCTGTACAAAACTAATAGCAATAAGTCAGCAATAAGAAAGAAAATGAAAGTTTAACAATTTGTTTTTTCACTGATGACAATTTTTAAATTCTTAAGTTTCTTTTTTTTTTTACATTGATTTTTCTCAAACTTTCATGGACCTGTCCCTCTCATTTTCTGCTTCTATTATTAAAAACCAACTTAATATCAGGATGGACTTCCCCTTTAATGCTAACCTGTCTTCTTATCTTGACAGATAAAGCAATCTTTAAAATAGTCTAGAGAACCATCTGGACAGACACAGAACTTCAAAGTGAAGTCACGTTTCAAAATGAATCATTATTCTATTAAAAGATTGCTGTAAAAAACACAATTATTCTTTGACGAGGAGTTTAAAAAAATCTCTCTTCTCCTTTCGTCCTCCCTCCCCCTCCGTCTGCCATCCTCTCTCATCTCCCTTATGCCCCCTGCCCTCTCCCTCCCTGCAAGAGACATGATTGTTTGCAAGAATTACTTCCTGTCCTTTTGACTTCCCGCTGGCAAATGACCTTAAAACTTTCTTAAGAAACTTGAATGACTATAATACCTGACTCACATCTCTAAAATCATCATTGTTTAACAATTTGAGAGGGCAGATAAATTGGAGATGGTCTACTGATTAGCCATTATTTATAACTAATACAGAAACTCAGGAAATTGATGTTTCAAATGTTGACAATACGATCAGTGGACAGGCAATGACAGGTTCTCTATCTTAGAATCAGTATGAGACTATAGATTAAACTATTAAACAAACAATATTATATAAAAAGTTTCTGAAATAAGCATATTTATTTTAGTTGTACCTACCTTCGTATATTCCAACCAATTATTAAATTAACATAAATATGATGATTTATGCATCATAACAGAAACATTGTCAAAACTCACGAGCCATTTTTCACTAAAAAAGACAACTTTGTTCTTTGTCCATAAATATTAAATACTATATCAATCTTTTGGCAAAAGGGCTCAAAGGAAAGACGACCTCTAGATTAAATTTAACATGAAATAACTTTGATTCTAGAGAAGTAATATGTCCGACCATTTAATGTGTGAATCAAACCAACAACAACAACAACAAATATTATAAATAACTTACCCATTGTAAGCCAGTAAGGCCTTGTAGCAAAAGACGTATCAAATGGTGTTGGTGTCATTGTCTGTGTTGTTCTGGATTCAGTTGAAGCATTGGTAACCACTGGTGGTGTTGTTGTTTCTACAGGTGTTGTGGCAGAGGTTGTTGGTGGAACTGTTGCTCCTGTAGTTGTTGCTTCAGTAGTGACCATGGGAGTGGTCCTTGGTGTTGCAGATGACACTGAAGATGTTGCCTCGGTTGCAGGAGTAGGTGCCATAGTGTGGTTCAAGGAAGCCGAAGTGGACAGTCCAGGAGTGGCTGAGGAAGTCTCCGGAGACACTCCTGCACTTGTCGATGAGGGGTTAGCTGTTGCATTACCCGCTGCAGCTGTACTTGTCGGAAGGGTCACCTGTGATGTGCTCATTGCACTTGTTGCTGGCTCTGTTGAAAGAGATGAGGTTGCCGTAGAAACAACTACAGGAGTTGTAGCAATGGTGGACAAATTTACTTGGGAGGGTGGTGATGTGGGCAAAAACACTGAACTCATTGAAACTGACATGGACAGGGTGCTCAAGGAAACCAGGGGTGTTGATAGAATGCCCACAGAAACTGTAGGTGTAGGTGAAGAAGAGGTTGAATTCATAACTTGTGTCTCTGTGACACTTGAGGGAGTAAGAGAGAGCGATGGAGACAGCAAAATAGAAGTTGCCGGTGGGGCAGAAGAGGTATCAGGGGTTGCGGATGCCTCTGCATGGAGCGTGGAGTTGGGAGGCAAGGATATGAAGCTTGAAGATGGCATAAATGGAAGACTTGGGGTTGACATTGTTGAACTAACCCCAGGAGAGTCTGATAAGATTGAGCTATTGGGAGTTGGGAGAATCATCAACGAAGAGGATGATGATGGCATTTCAGTTGTCACGGGAACTATACCGGATGATACTGAATCAAAACCAGATGATAGCGTAGGGAACAACGAAACACTCTGGTTTACAAGAGATATTGATGACTCCGTCACGACAGAACTCGCCATAATCGACTGACCTGCAGAAGATGTTGGCAACACGGCAATTGATGACATGATTGTACTTGAGATAAAGTCACTTTCGACTACAACAGTTGATGATTGCACTGGCATAGTACCAGTTTCATTAGCTTCTGAACTTGACAAGGATTTTATTAATGATGACTGCATTGTTGTTGAATTAGGAACCGATGATTTTGTTGGTATGTAAATCGAGGAAGATGGCATGATTACACTTTGAATAGATGAATTTACAAAAGAGCTACTCATAGTTTCCATCATACTCTGCGAGATAAATTCGCTTGACATGATTGCATAGGTTGACGATATGACTTCCTGATGTGCACTTGAACTAGACGTCAATGATGATGATAAAGGCATACTTTCATTTGTTTGCACGCTGCTCGAAAATGATTGCACTGATGATGAAAGAATGGGTGTTTGAACGATCGCCGACATAGTACTATACAACGTTCGCGTAACTTCAGCACTCATGTTCAGCAGTTCTGTTGATACCACAGAAGAAAGAAAAGCTGTTGAGGGAGCTGATGTCTGGAGCGGGACCAGTGATGCGGTTGCCGTCGGTGACAGTACGGAGGTGGAGGTTAAGTTACCATCTGTTGATGAAAGATTATCCAAAGAGTCAAAACGTGAAACATCTGTCAAGCTGACAGCAGAAGATGAAGATGTTTTATCGACAGACACATCAATTGGCATGCTAGTTATTGTAACTCCATATGACATACTCGTATTCTCCGTCAACATGCTGGTTAGCAGCAGGGAACTGTCAAGGAATGTTGATGTGAAAGTCATTTGCATAGATGCAGCATCACTAACAGATGGGGATGCTACGATGACAGGCATGCTTTGCGTTAAGGAAACACTGGGGGGTAGCAGGGTTGAGGACTGAATTGTGAAAGATGATAATGAAGGTGTTGGTGTTTGGATAAGCACTTGAGACAAAGGTGTTGACTGAGCAAATATTGTTTGTGTAGGGGACAGCGTTTCATATATCGGTATTGATGTAGTGTAGGGTGTTTGAGTCTGTATACTAACTGGTGTTGGTGTTTGGATAAGCACTTGAGACAAAGGTGTTGACTGAGCAGATAGTGTTTGTGTAGGTGATAGTGTTTCATGTATCGGTATTGATGTAGGGTAGGGTGTTTGTGTCTGTATACTAACTGGTGTTGGTGTTTGAATAAGCACTTCAGACGTAGGTGTTTGGATAAGCACTTCAGACAAAGCTGTTGACTGAGCAGATACATGTAGTGTTTGTGTAGGTGATAGTGTTTCATGTATCGGTATTGATGTAGTGTAAGGTGTTTGTGTCTTTATACTAACTGGTGTTGGTGTTTGGATAAGCACTTGAGACAAAGGTGTTGACTGAGCAGATACATGTAGTGTTTGTGTAAGTGACAGTGTTTCATGTATCGGTATTGATGTAGTGTAGGCTGTTTGAGTCTGTTCACTAACTGGTGTTGGTGTTAGTCTTACAAGTTGGGTAGAATTTATTCCTATTGAATTAGAATGCACAGATGTTACACTGTCATAATTTGACACTTCAAAATATTGTGTTAGCGTATTACTGATTGTTATGGTTTCTACAGAATTAGGTGTTGGTATCAAGGTGTCTAAGTTATACACTGAAGTAAGGTGTTCAGTTTGTGTTAAGGTAAAAAATGAAGGGTCTTGAGGCACTAATGATGAAGTCTGAGAGAAAGGTGTTACAAATGAAGGTGTAAAAGAGGTATACAACATGGTTGAAGTATGTGTCATTATATCAAACGATTGAAGATCTGTACTAGTGAGATCCATTTCTCTACTCTCCAAATTGGTGTTAGCACTATCAGAAGGTGTTACAAAGTCATAAGAGGTCTGAGTATGCAGAAGGGTTTCAAGCAAAGCAGATGCATCTAACAAGTTTACACTAGATCCTACAACATCGAGCTCTGACATGGCACTAGGCGTACCGGAAGCCATGCTGGACAGTGCTCTAGAAAAAGCTGGGGAGCTCAAGACAGATGCAACCACTGGAGTGGTAGATCGAAAAGATGCGGATGTTGGTATTAACGTACTGGTTGCCAAGGCGACGTTAGATACAGTCTGAAAGGAAGGTGAAGGTGATGGGAGAGATGCGGACGTGAGACTGGATGAGGGCGTGGCAACTGGTCCTACAGGGGGGAGAGAGGAGAAAGGAGAGCTAGTAACTGGAGTGATGCGATCCGGGGAGTTGGTAGGTGTTGGGTGAGGTCGAGGCGAGGTAGACAAGGTAAATAATGGAGACATAGACAAGACAAACGATTTCTGATTAAATGAAGATGAAGACAACAGATATTCACTACTTGCCATAGATGCATACAATGATGATGATGATGATGAAGAAAAGAGGGTGAGAGATGGAGAAGTTTTGCTAGGCAACAGGGATGATGCTACAAATGTTGCATGCATGCTATATTTGGAGGAAGCAAGGGATGAAAGCTCGTTATGTGTGAAGGATGGAGGATGCATTGACCGTGATGCATCTACATTTTCTTTTGATATAAACTGAGAGAAACTGCTTGGTGTGACAGAATAAGCTGCAGAGGGAAAGTGTGCATCACTTAATAGGGATGGCATCCCTATTAAAGATGATGCAGTATGTGGTTTCATTGGTGCAGATGATATGTCTTGTTCAACATAAGCAGAATTGGAGACATTATTGAAGCTTGCAGGAAGAGATGGCGCAACTAAGCTAGAAGAAGGTATTTTATTGACAGAGAAGTCGCTGTTAAAGCTTGCATGTAGCGAAGCAGAAGAGGGAGAGAGAGAAGAAGTAGGAGCAATGGTGCTTAGTAATGTTAGGGGCGTGGAAATCTGATTTTCTACATGCATAAGGGATGGTGAAGAGACATTATTGAAGCTTTCAGGAAGATATGGTGCAACTAAGCTAGAAGAAGGTATTTTATTGACAGAGAAGTCACTGTTAAAGCTTGCATGTAGCGAAGCAGAAGAGGAAGAGAGAGTTGAAGTAGGAGCTATGCTGCTTAGTAATGTTAGGGGCGTGGACATCGAGATGGCCGGCAGCTGCGAGAGATGAGACGCCGCATCTCGACTTGAACTCGGGACTGGTGAAGCAAAATGTAATGAAGAAGTTTCATGGACGAGTGGGCCAGGGGATTCCAAACTTAATCTCGAAATAGGAATAGATAATGGAGAAAAATCCCGCATGGATGAGTAAAGTGATGTCTCTGTGGTTCTGCCTACAAGCCGAGCGGAAACGAGGCTTATCGACGTGTAAGCCGACATAGACAAGGGTCTTGAATTTCCACCTGGGTATCGGAGGGAAGGTGTTGCAATTACGGAGGTAATTTGGGGTAATCCGTGGCTCCTGAGGGGTTTGTTCACACCAGAATTCGACAATGAGGAGATTGGAGTGTGAAACGTGTACGTGTAAGGGGTTGGTGAGTAACCAGATGTGGAAGGGTCGCTTGGTATTCCGTGGCTCCTCAGGGGTTTGTTCACACCAGAATTCGACAATGAGGAGATTGGAGTGTGAAACGTGTACGTGTGAGGGGTTGGTGAGTAACCTGATGTGGAAGGGTCGCTTGGTAATGAATAAGGGGATAGAGATAGAAGATGGGTCGGTGTGGAAGAAGAGTTGGAATAAACAGGGGAAGAAGGTACATGACTGGAATTTACTACCATGGGACTGGGGTTGGGGAAGATGAAGTGGAAATCTCAAAATGCAGGGATGATGAACCTGAAGTGAGAGGGAGACAAGAAAGTATCGGAAGAGAGAGAAATAAAAGAGAAAGAAAAGAAAGAGAGGACAAGGGCATGGGAGGAGATAAGGAAGAAAATATTGAAAAAGGTACACTTGATGACAAATGAGCCAGAAAGTATACTATTAAGAAGAAGAAAAAAAGTGCTAATATGCTAAAGGTAATATCAAGTTCAAAACAGCTAGATATATGGTCGTCCTTTGAGTTGAACACTTTTATCTCCTTCTTGGCTCTTTTATCAAACTGGTTTGCATCTGTCAAACTCCCATCATTGCTGAATACACTTGACACGGAATGAACGATTTCCCAAACGACTACAGCTTCGGTTGCCACGGAAACTTCTCCAGGTAAATAATACCAAAGTGATTGATTGAAGAGAGATAGGGCTGACGGGGGAGAGATTGGAGGCCGGAAAGTTTGGATTGGATCGGGTGACTGGAATAACAGACCCGACTGCCCTGACCGTGACATGTTCCTTGGCATCGAGAGACGCGCATAAGATCTCGCAAAAGATGGCGCAGTGAATGTACTTGAAGTCAATGACTCGACTATGCCGTGTCGATCACAGAACTTGGTGAGCAATGCAGTTTTATGAACACCTACTGGCCAATCGGGGTTGATTACTTTCTGTGTAATAAGATGCAAAGACATGGTGCATGTCATACAGTCGGTGGCAGCGGTGGGATTAGTCAGATTTGTCATTAAGTTGGCGTCAGGAGTGGGATACATCATAGAGTGATCTGTTCTAGAGGATGGCCATGAAACTTTGGATGGGTTGGGTGAGAGGGTCTGGACTGAACCAAAAGGGAACAACACTCCCTGGGCCTGGTCAGAACAGCAAAACAATGACTGGACAGATTTTGCCACAAGGTTAGATTCTAATCCCATTTCAAAACCAAGGGGCGCCGTTTTTTTAGCACTCCCCAGAACTTTCGTAAGTTTTAACGAAGGACAGGATTTAGGGTGGGGTAATGAGCTGTCCCCTGGGATAATTCCAAATGAAATAGTCCTTTTAAGGGATGACACTGATTCAGGAAACAGGGTCACACTCTGTCCTGAATTGAAATTAGCTAACAAATTGGTGTTTAGGTGCGACCTCAATCCGAGGGGCACAGGGTCTAAATCCATACAAAAACTTGGCAAACGAGACAGACTCGATTGGAGAGCTTGTGGCAGGATTTGACCGGACACTACAGAAGTCAAAAGGCACAAGCTTAAAGGTGGTGACAGATCCAATGAAAGGTCGGGCAGCAAAGTGGTGGCTGATGACAACCGAGAAGAGCTACTGCCCTGGGACTCCAAAGCGGTAGGGAGAAGAGCAGGTGTCTGGATTGCGACATAGATTGATTGGCTGTGATCTAGGTTTGTCATTGAAGCGGCAATTATCGCTAATAAGGGGTCAAGGGTCGCCATCATTACCTCTCTGACTGGTAATGACTGAGGGGAGAAGATACAGTTACAGATAACACATCCATTCTCTCTAGCTACGAAAGATGCGCTCCGTTGCAATCGATCTAGGAGGAGGAGGGTATTCTTAGAATAGATAGGGGTAATAGATACCACTTTACCGGTAGAATAATTCAAATAAAGGGGGTTGAGTAACGCACCCGCAGGTGAAATGTTAGTAAGCTTGAAGATAGGGTGATGGTTAGTGGAATAAGACAATCTAAAGCAACTATGTGAGGTTATTAAGTTAGTAGATACAATTGTTCCTTTTGCAGTAACAGCAACACACACAGGAAAAGAAGCAGAAAACTGGTTATGATAGCATTCAGAACTTGATGGTGAAAAAATAGAAAAATGGGTTAGCATTGGGTTATCTTCCATTAACGAATAAAATAGAACGTTATCTAATGAAAAATCAGAGGTAAAACCAATACTGAAGGGTAATGATGGGTCATGTGTTAGTGAGTTTGTTTCTAGTGCTGTTTTCTGTTTTCTGGTGTTGCTGAAGACTGGTGATGAATATTCATGAAGGAGTGTGTGTCTGTGTATGTTTGAATGTGGTGTTGAATATGCATGAGCTTGTATTGGTGTTGTGACTGTCTGGTTTGAAGAATGTAGGTTTGTAACAGCAGCCCTGATTGGATAGTTCATAGGGGAGGATGGTAGCCTTGAGGCGATTGGATGGCTGTCATACTTCAATGTCTTAATATGGAAGTCAGTTTGAAATGATGAACTCAAATCAGTTTGAAAAGCAGAAGGTTGCTTAAGAGTTTCATGCAAAACAGGTTTAGAGACAGGTCCCAAGCCAAGCATTTCATGCAAATTAGAAACTTGTGAAAGAACTGCAGTCATTGGCTGAAGCGATGCAACTCTAGCAGAATCAGGCCAATCATAGGAGAGGTAAGATGGTTTGAAATGATGGGCACTCAAAACAGCAAGCAGGGTAGAAGATGGATGAAGCTTAGCCATGTAAGAAGCATGCTGATTGGCTGAAAGTTTGGTTGGCATGGTAACAGCAGGCAAAACCTTATCATACTTGCCCTCAGCTTGTGTGGATGCTATAACTTGCGAAGTATCTACAAAGAAAGAAAAATAAAAATAATAATAATAATAATATTCTGTTTTTTATATAGCGCTCAATACATTGATCAAACGATGTGCCTAAGCGCTTTACAGATATATTATTACCCCGGTCATCGGATTCAGGCTTACCCACACAGAATGTAAGTAATGTGTGAGTGTATAGACCTTTTATAGTCCATTTATAACAGGGCTCCAGTATCCACACTAACTTTTTGTTGTTGTTTTTTTTTTTGGGGGGGGGGGCAGGAGGACCAGGGCCCTGTTTCATAAAACTTGTTATCAATAACAAATGCTAAATTTCTATGACAAATTTGCTCTCAGCCAATCAAATGCCACGATTTCAGTAGCTTATAACAGTTATTGTAACTTATCATTGATAACAAGTTTTATGAAACAGGGTCCAGACAGGAAATTTCAGGGTATGTGTGAATGAGCCCCCTGATAAAATGTTGGGAGTTTGGGGCAGGGAAAAAAATACACGGGGGCTCGGGGCGAATTAGCCCCCGAAATGCCCCCCCCCCCCCCAAAAAAAAAGTCTTAAAAGAGCCCCCAAATTTTGCATAGAGTTTAATGCAAAACAAATTAAAGAGTGTTATTTTCATGCAAGCAAGCTTGAAAAGTAGCCCCCCCAAATTTGTAAAGTAATTTTGTCCCTGTTGGGGGTCTAGAGTTTTGGGTTTGGAGTCTATATATCCCAGGCACCTGTTCATGTCAGGTACCGCCTATTTGCAACCCAGTATGAAAGGACAAATATAAATCAGATCTCTGTTATCTGCTGGGTGCGAGCCAAAAAGATTTTCACAAATCACAACTCTTATCTTTGTTGTCATTTAATAAACATTGGCAATATGACCATGTAAAGTAAATGATCAGCAGTTAAATTGTCTGATCGTTTTTCTGTTTGTTTGTTTGTTTGTTTGTCTGTTTGTTTGTTTTACCTAAGAGCTATTCAGCTCTGGAAAGGTCCAAAAGTACTTTTGAGAAATTAAAAGAGATGTGATACAAAAACAATAAAAGTATTTAAAATTTCTGTCTGGATATATCACTCGGAAAAGCAAATCAACGATGCAAACAGAGACTTCTTGAACAAAATTGACAACTCAATATTTATATTTGCATCTTCTTTTTTTAATTCCTATATATATCAAATTGAAATCCAACTACCCGGTACCACATACATCTGTGAATCTTGATGTGCATCCCCTCTTTCTTTTTTTCTTCTTTTTCTGTCATTTTCCCCTTTTACCAATATTTTTCCCTCCATGTTTGTATTATTATATATCCATTGAGGGTAGTCATGCTTTGCTTACTTTGTCAACCCTCCTGTTTGATGTTTTTGATTAGTTACAGCCAGCCTTACTTTATTCTACATATATTCTTTTGTCATGTGTAAATTTGCAATGTTTGTTTGTTACATACTTGTAGAAATGCAAAAGAAAAAGAAAATCAAACAGAAATAAATCAATCAAATCAAATCAAATCGCATATTTTACAAAATAATGAATGTAAACATACATTGTACTACCATATTACATGTATATATATATATATGGGGAAAGTGCATATCTGCAGGGTGAAATTCATGTACAGCCATAATCATAGCAAACCAGAGGCAGAGGGCATGAAAAAGTACTTGACTCACGGAACACACGGTTTTGTCATAAAAAAGCTGATATATTGGAGGCATTTTTTGATAGGTAGTTAATGAGGCCACGCAAATGAGAAAGCAAGCTTGCTGATAATCTCTAAAACCTCATTATTATGATTAAACTTATCAGAGAGTTAATAATAATGTTAAGCCGAGAGGGGAACGTATTAAACAAAATTACATTAAAAGGGCTGGTACTGTCATGTACAGTGAAACCATATAAAGACCACTCAAGGGTGACAAGAAAAGTACCGTAGTCTTTACGAATAAAGTTTCATATATCATGTGATATTCATAGGAAAACAAATTATTACCGGTACTAAATTTAATTCCCTTCATAAAGAACCACATTAGAAGAGATACTCAACTCAACTTTATGAAGTGATTTTCCATCTATTTTTTGTGAAAGTCTATTTAGTACTTGTAATGGATCAAAATGCATTATTTATTACGTTCATTATGAGAGGAAAAACAAAATGAATGAATATGCAGAGATTTTTTTAAAAATGCAACCAGATGAAAAATTATCACATTTTAAAAACTCATATTTTACCCGGTAGGATGCGAAAGTTAATGTGGTTGAATGAGCAAGTGTGCGCTTGTAAAATGGCGCCTGGCCGGAATGTTCCCCAGGGAGTGGAGAATGTGCATACATTGTGTGCGGGTAAACCTGAATGCTATGACCTGGGTAATAATATAAAAGCACATTGTTGATGCTTTATATAAAAGTGGAATATTATTATTACTATGGCTGTATAAAATCTTATTTACTGGTAGAGGATAGTTTAATTCCATATGACTAGGGCCTTTAAGTTGAACATTAAAATTCATGCTATTCCTCTTCTGAA